TCACTCCTGGCGTGTTTCAGGGCTTCCTGCTTCAGGGAACACAGAGGGGGGCACACACAAAGAGAGCATGAATCTTTCGCGCACAAAAGCTTTCTCCAGGAGTTGTTTCGCACTCCGTGTTCCGGTTTTCAGTCCAACAGTTCATTTGCTCGAAGAAGCTCACAACCCGCTCACGTGGGTTGCTGCGCGCCAGCATGATGGATCCCTATAGTTCTGGCCATGGCTTCGGAAGAAGTGCTTCTGGAGGGGACAGTTCATTGTTCAATTGAGCAGCGCTCAATATTCAAAATCATGTCCTGCAGCAAGGGGACGACATGGGGCACACTCACCAAAGTAAGGTGGGGGTCACCGAATTCTGATGTGGCTGTGGGTCAAAGCCAAGTGGGTGCACCACCCATTTTAGAGCCTATTTCAGCGGGGATTGGGACGTTCACTGGGGGTACGACTTGGAGTTTGACCCATGGCCATGTCAGTTGGGGACCCAATAAATGTTGACCGTGGCTCAGTTCGAGTCACGAAACATCCTGCCAGGGCAGAGGATCGTGCTCAGTATGAGGCAGGCGGCCGCCGTTTCGAAAGGCTAGGCAAAGGTTCTGTGTGGTTTGGACCGGAGAGTGTCCAATTTGTAAACGTGTTTTGATATATATTTTTTTCTTCGGAGCTTTCCCTTAGACCTGAGCCATTTTAAAATGGCTCAGGTCCTTCGGCTTCATGGGGCCTCTGGCCTCTAAACCTGGCTCAAACCTGGCTCAACATGCTAGGGACAGTCAGTCAGCTCGCTCGGGCGTGCCAACACCATGTTCTCGACGCTCCATTCCGGGGACCCCCTAAAATCTTGGTCTTCGTGTTGTTTTTTCCCCTTAGAACCACGGGATACCCCCCATAAAAGTAGACACACGGTAGACACCCCCATATCCAATCTGCCTTTTGCGACCCATAGGCCGATTGCCCTACGGTTGAATCCACACGGCCAGGACGGATGAAGCGGCGAAGCTGGACAGGACAGCACCAGACCGGAGGGGCGGTCGGTCCGTGCCGTTGGGTCTGTCGTGTTTGTGAGGGGAACCCTTTCCTGGGCGGTTTTAAAATTTAAAGGAAATCCAGCATTTGGGGAGGTCCCTAAAAAGAAGCCATGGACCATTTGTTACCAAGGGTTGGGATCTTTGTCCCAGGCCGAAAGGATTTTCGGACCCCCTTTTTTTCATTGCCAGACCCTTTGAGCTCGCATGTTGAACTGTTTACCGTGGCTTCCTTCATATATGTCGAAGCCAGCAGTTGCCAAGTTTTTGCGGGTCGCATCCGTGCCTAGCAGGCGGGAATAAGGTTCAAGTAGTCACATACATGCCTAAATAGGTCGGCTGGCATCATGGAGTCGAACTGGAACAGATGGAAGTGTTCGGTTGACCTTGGTTTCAAGCTTGTTGTTTTTTGGTTGGTTGTTTCCTCAAGATGTTCCCCTCTTTACTGTTGTTGGCATGTGTGTTTTTGCTTTTGAGTCTTTTCGTTTTGGTTTTGATCACTGTGGCTGGGTGGCTGCTAAAGACCAACACATCCCAGGATTAGATTTGAGCCAGGGCCATGAAAACCGCATCCCCTCAGAGTCACATGTTGCGTTTGGAGGACAGATTATTTTTTGGTGGAAGCTTTGGGGGAGGACTTGTTTTTTTTTTGCTTTTTGCGGGGTTGGCATGACTCTGATGCTACTCACTTCCTGGTAGGTGTCCAAGGGAAGCAGCTTTTAAAAGCTTAAATGAAATTGGCTCCTTACCTACTATAGTGGCTTGAGATTCACTGGGTGTGGGAAGACCATCGTGCAAACAGTTTGAACTTTGCCCAACCCACTCGATCGGTGAATTGCCCTTCTCCCCCGCACTTTTTCGCCCACTTTCGTATCCCAGGACTGCGACTTGTCTCGGCTCGCCGCTTTCGGGACCAAAGATGTCCTGACGGTTGATTCTGTGGGCGGATTGGTGGACTCCTCCGCACAGGAGTTTCACAATGTTGACATGATCTTCCTGGCCAGCGAACATCAATGTGAGATTTTCGTGGCATTGTGAATCGTGCCAGCTGAGTGTCCCCCTCCTTCGGCGGAATCAACCGTGTGTACGAAGTGTGTTTGTGCCACTAGCATTTGCCGCTTTTAAAGCAAGAGGCACAAAAGGCGCCGGAGCGGTACAATTTGCAAGTGCTTTTGTGTGGAACCAGCGAGCCGAACCCTAAATGGAAGTTGCCCTGGGCGGAAATGTCTTACACAAGCCTCCTACAGGTGCCACTAAAGGTTGCCATTGTACCCATCACATGCCCTCCCAGTCGCACAGATTTGTATCCTAATTGCAGAAGCACTGGGCGGTTCTGCGGTCGCCTTCACCACACCCTTCTCCAAAATGCATCGACCTTCCAACTTTTTAGTTGTTTTTTTCGTCGATCCAAGTGTTTGTTGAAATCTGGTTTCATTCTAGTCACGAGAGCACCTGTATGATTGTCGCTTCCAGAAGATCACATGCAGGAAGCTTTAAGAAGCCGGATCTAGAGCATCAACTGGACATTGACTCGACCCTATAAACTTGGATTCGCACCTCACAATTCGATCGGACCCCCATTGAAATGAGGCACGGCCCATCACGTAATCAAACTTGGATTTGCGCCTCACAATTCGATCGGACCCCCATTGAAATGTTGCACGGCCCACGGCCCTTTTAATCAACCAGCAGTTTCTTAATCCTGCTATTCGTGCGGAATGTCCAACAGTAGCAACAAGGATGTGGGCTTTCTGCTGGTGCAGAAGTTCCTCTAGCTTAATGCTGCTTTGTTCAAAACCATTAGACGACTGCAGATTTTTTTGGGGTGATTCCGAAAACAAGTTCCAGCTTTTAAAAACCCCAGTCGAACTAATAATTAATCTTAGGATTCGGTTGGTCAGATGCAATGGGAGGACCGGGTCGACATTACTTTCATTTGGGGGTGTTTTCACTCTACTGCTATTGGGTTGGATCTTTAGACTTTAACTTCTTGGATACCCCTCATATGTCCTTTTCAACTGGTCTTCGGGTGCGGCCATGGACACACACAGTATGAGCGCGAGCTCACCAAATGCAGCAGCCGGATGTTTTCCAATGCCTTGCCCAAAATGGGGCTCCCATTGCAAGGGGGACCACCATATCGATGTGACCTTCCTTGCGCACCGCCCCAGATGTTCTGCGGACCACATGCAAGACCTCCCCCATTGACTGGGCCTGCTTTCATGCCCAAAATGCCTGCATTCATGCCTGCACCGTGTGGACCACATTCAATGCCCGGAAGGGGGCCTCCACCTCATGCAACGCAGCATGACGTACAATGGCATCCTTCGATGTCTACAACGGCCCCCTCAATACACAGAAGCTTCTCACTGGAACGGGACAGAACGCCTTTGAGCCAGCGGCTAAAGCCGCAGCCAAGGTGAAGGCGAAAGCCGCAGCTCAGGTGAAAGCTGAAGCCGCAGCCAAGTGGGTTGCCAAAGCCGCGGCCAAGGCGAAGGCAGAAGCCACCTACAATGCGAATACGTTGGGCATTGCACAAGGCTCAGGAAAACAAACTGGGGCGAGAGTTGATGTGTGCAGCTGGTGCAAGCTGAAGCGGCAAGGATGGCCCGCCTGTGACGCCAGAACGGTAGCTTCTATTGCGAGGTTTGTTGGGGGGGGTTTGATGTGCATCACAGAAACGCAGGATCAGCATGTGGAGGTGGCGACTTTTGGCATGAGCAGATTCTAGAGGCTGAAATTGTTGCAGCGGAACACGAAGATGATGAGGGAGAAGAAGTGATTGAACTCATGAAGAAGGCCTTTGACGAGATTGACTCCAAGCCCGCGCGAGCTTTTGGTCAAAGCGGTGCGGCAGGTGACACAGAGAGTGAGGACAGTGAAGGTGAGGAGCGCGATGAAGTCGGACCACTTCGGAATGTTGCCACGAAGCTGGCTGATCCGTCCCGCAATGCCGCACTTGAGCTCCAAAAGGCGCATGTGATAATCATTGTGGACAATTGTGGTTCAATGCGGACTGTGGATGTCAAGCCCACACATGGCGAAAAGCCTGTGAGCAGGCTACAAGCCGTCACCGCGTCGCTATCGGAGTTTTTTGATGTGCAGCAGCGCTCAAGTTCCCTGCATGTGTTCTCCATGCTCTCCTTCAGCCAGAAGAGCTGTGTGCACTTTGTGAACCGAAGCGCCAGGGAGGCAAGCCCTAGCCAAGAAAATTTTGGCAAGCTGGCAGCAAGGCTTTGGCACGCATTATGTTGTTGGATTGGAAGCTGCTGAGAGGCTGGCAAAAATGCCTCCTGGTGGCATTCCCCATTTGTTGGTTTTCAGCGACGGTCGGCCTGCAGATGGTAAGCAGATGATCCAGTTTGCCCAGCGCATGCTATCCGACCTTCATGCAATAGGGTTCGGCGATGGGCTCGACTTCGACGCATTGCCGCAGCTAACTTCTATTGGGTGTGGCACCTTCGCTCCATCCGGCAAATCCGTGATTGCCCTCAACCACGCTTTCGCTTCAGTGACTTCAAGCATCACAGAAACCCAGACGGTCGCTAGCAGATCCAGCAAATCAAGTGCGTTCACTTTCAATGGGCTCCCAGGTCAATCGAGTGCAGACGCTGCAAAGGATTTTCAGCTGAGGAAAGTTGACTTTGAGCCCTCATGCCAGTTTTCATGGGGCATGAATCGCTCAATCAGCTTCCAATGCCGCCGGAGTTGGTGTGGCTATAATGGCCAGAAGTTCACAAAGAACCAAACAGATCGGGGTTAGAAGGAAGAACCAGTGTCTATAAGATTGAACCCATTTACCCAAGGCGGCATGCGCCTTGTGTACTGCTTCAAGGATTCCACCATCTGATATTTTTGGAGCAGATGTATGACTGGTATGCAATGAGGGATGCAGCATGGTAGGCAAACTGGCCAAATACACGGATGCGTGGCACAATTCCGTGGCAGCCTATGCCAAGAGCAGCTCAGTTGCAAGGTTCTATGCGCGGGTTTTTACTCTCGCAGCAGCAGACCGCCTTGGCCCAAAGGGCCGGACCATGGCAAGAATCATTTTAATGGAGTGCTATGTGTACGAAGCTGAGGAGGGAAGTGGCGCCCCAGCTCCGTTCATGCTCAGGATGCCACTTCATGAAAGTGTATGCCGTGGAGCCAAGCTGCATGCACCATCCCGGGCAGTCCTCTCATGTCCAAGCTGAGCGGTACTTGCCTGGTGTCTTCCTTAAGTACAACTCCAATGCTGGCTACGTGAATCGGGAGGCTCCGGACTCTGAGGTCGCTCAGCCTTTCCCACATTATACATTCCAGGACAGATCCTTTGGGCCGGGAGACCTAGGATTCGAGGGGATGCGGGCCTTCTTTCGAAGCCACCGCTGCGGAACCACCTGCCAGCAACTGGCTTGAACAAGAAAGCGTGGAAAACTAGTCAGGCTTTGCGCAAAAATGCAGCACAGGCAGAAGTCAAGACAGCATCATCCTGCGCGACCGAGCCGAAGAAAACAGTTGTGTATGGCCCACTCGGGCAAAGGATCTCCTTGGCAAGCAGCAATCGTGAAGAAGTTGTGGCTGCAATTTCTTCTGCCTTTTCCATCCCTGCGGACGAGCAGCACCTGCTCCAAGAATTCGCCCCTGGGGCCGAGACGGACTTCTTCCGTGTGGAGCGGAAGATGGACCCGCGATCGCTCCGCTTTACGCAGAGCAGCATCAGCCCAACCTCCGCGACGGGAGGCCCATTTTTCAGCTCCTGAATGACCTCAATGCAAGAGAATTCGATCCCTTGAGGGAGTTGGAGCCCTCGGACGTTGTGTGGCATAGCGGCAGCTGGCGCTCATTGTCCAACCGTCGGCTGTGGGCACTCAATCACAGCAGCGATGGAATGAGCGGCCGGCCGCTATGTGTGCGAGCTCGCGTGCGGCCAGTGGATGCCGAGTTCCATGCGAAAAGTACCAGTACCAATGACGGGGTCTCCGTGATGATCAGCGCACGGTCCCGGTCACCCTCGCCAGTCTGCAAAGCAGGCTCTTGATTGCTTTTTAAAGTGCTGCCCTCTAGATGAAGGCTAGATTTGGATTGTTTTTTGCTTATTGTGGCTTAGTGGTTGAAATCCAAATCCACCTAGCTGCTAAAACTTCCCCTACAAGCTCACCTAACAGATGTTAGCCTGTAGAACCAGTTCCGCACCTTGCTAAAATTTTAGATTTTTTGCTCCCCAAACCCAACGTGAACCAAGCGAAGCCTCGTTCCGAAGGCCTGTTGGGGGAGTCCTCTAAAGAGACGAGCCACCCGTTTTCGCGAGGCATCCAGACTTCCCGGAGCTTCCGGTCATCGACTATGCCCGGAGCGCAGCTGTTTTTTTCTCGCATTGTTTTCCTGGTTGGTTTTTAGTTAGTAGCAACTTGGTGTTAAATTAACTAGTTACACACAGACACACACACACAAATGGCTCTGCATGTCAATTTTTTGATTGCAAGCCTGTTTTGATTGTTTTTGAAGAGTAACTAGTCCAATTCCTATCCGTTTATGATGGTAGTACTTCCCTGCGAATCAACATGGGACCGCAAAAGTCATGGGTCCTCTAAAGGGAGATTCCTGCAAAATTCCATGGCCTTTTGGTTTCCATGTTAGTCTGTAGGAGTTTATGCGAAACATCCCAAAAGGCAACAGAGCCTGAGCCAGACTCACGGGTGTGGTAAACACTGCAAAGCCCTGAACATTGGTCACGGATGCATGGGGGTGTCTTCTTTTGAGGGTATCCCCTTTGTGTCTTTTTAAAGGGAAACCCCCTATAAGGAAAACTTTTTTTTTTTGGGGGGGGGGCTGAAAAGCAACACCCACATCTTGAAAGTCGCGGAGATATGGTGTCAATGTCCGGCTCGCTCAGGATTGCATCGTGGTCCTCATCCCGATGCTTTGCCTGGGCGTCACTCTTGGGGTGCTGCCAGCGCTATTTTCGGCATGGCTTTTACCCGACTCGAATCAGGGCAGGCTGACACACTGACCTGCAGAGTGTTTGGGTGTGGCTTTTTGTTGTGGAGGGTACCCTTTGTGTGGTGCTTTTAACGGGAATCCCCAAAAAACATATTTGACACACACAGAGACGCACACGCACCATTTTTTAATTCATCCCACACGATCTAGGGGACCTGGCCGTCCTACCTTCTCAATGCCAGGCGGACTCACAGGTGTGTGTTTCATCAAGTGATTCGGATTCCCTCTGAATCAAAAAGGGGGCTTTTCTTTCTAAGCTTTGCAAATGACAACTGGAATTCCGGAGGCCCCCACTCCTGTTCCACCCCACTCCTGCTGTTCAGGGGATTGATATAAACTTTCGTGAAAAAAAAGAGGAATGCCGCCAGGTGCTGGTCAACAGAACGGCGCCATCCTGGCTGCTGTTGCTGCTGCTTTGCTCCACCTTGTGTCAGGAGGCTCAGCTGGTCGACCTCCAGTTTTGCCTTTCAAAAGGGAGCTAAGAAGCTACCGAAATGGTGTTCTGCAAGGACATGGCGGGCAACCACAAAAAAAAGAGTGCCCGCATGTGGTCATGGCCAGCTTTGTCTTGTGACCGATTTGATGCTGTACCGATTCGGGATCGGGGGATCAGGCATTTTTCATATTTCTGTGATTTTGACAGGTGCCTGCTCGGGTTTCCGAGCCATTTATCCCTTTTTGGAAACTTCAAGAAGTGGCCTTCTCGTTTCGATGGACCCGTAAATTGATCAATCTGGCCTTCGATGGCCTCATGAATTGCTCGGAGACAACAGCAGTTTGGATTGAAAATGATATCCCACTGTGGATGGACGAAATCCATTTCGCACCAGTTTGAAATCATGGAAAGCCAGTATGTTTGTTGGTATACAGGGGAATCATCACGTTTCTTATGTTGTGCATGATTTTGTCAGTACAAGGAAACCTGGAGGCCCTCTTCAACATCATATAGGTTACCAGGTTGTTGGAATGCAGCCCGTCTTCTTTCGGATTCTGTTCTACCAAGGAGCCCTGTTCAAAAGGAAGGCTGAATGGTTGTTGTTCTGCCAGCGGATCCCAGGCGTTTCGCCACTATAGGTAACCAACCATGATTTTGTTAGCTCACCAATAATTTTCCTTTCCTTCCTCTTGGTTTGTAAAGGGTGGCAAGCCCTTGGTGAGCTGCAAAACCGGGTAAACGCTTATTGCCATTGGGCAACGGATCTTCAGACTTCAGTTTTAGGGTTTTCAAAGACCAGATCCATGGAACCAGGTCTGCCGGTTTCAGCGAGATGGCCAGTCCACCCCAGCTTTTCATGGTTGTTACATTGGGACACATTTTAATTGTTCCCCATGTTTGCGTATTTTGTGGTTGAGTGGTTGAACTCCAAATCCACCAAACCCAAACCCAAACCCAACCCAAACCCAAACCCAACCCAAACCCAAACCCAACCATGGCTGCTAAAACAAAAAAGTCTGCTCCCCGAACCTTCCAACGTCAACGTCGAGTTTCGGGCCTCGAGAGCCTCAGGCCTGGCGCTCTGGCGTACCGGCGCCAAGGGCTTCAAGCAGCTGGCGAAGGCCTGCGCCTGGGAGGTCCCAGCGGGGAAGAACCCGAAGAAACTTCGGGGGGGATGGCAAGGCGGGGGGGATGGCTGGGGGCTGTGATTTGGACACAATGGCCGGGGGGTTATCAAAGTCAGAAATAAAATAAATTTATCAAAGTCCGAAAAAAGTACAAAAATAAAATGACCATTTCGGGGGTTAGAGTCAGACACTTTCGGGTGGTTTCCCTTTGCCAGGGTTACTTTGAGATTGGAGAATGGGAGGGATCTGTCTCTCACTCCCTGAGCTTCGCCCTGGTGAAACCAGCCACTTCAGGGCTCCGATCAAAGGATACAAGTTTTTTGCAACCATTGGAAACATGCGGCTTTTTCCACCAAAATACAGGGAAACCACCATTTACATGTGGCTCCTTAAAAGGATGTAAATGTTGCAACCATTGGAAACATGTTGCTTTTTCAACACCAAAATACGGTTGGAAACCACCATTTACAAGTTGCAATGTTCAGGTGTATAATATAAGGATCCCAGTTCAGGCTTTTGCTTTGGCCAATCCACTCGGGTGTTGCTGAGGCCTTTCCTTTCCCGGTTTGTTTTTTGAAGCCAACCTGAAGACCAGCCTTTTAAGAAGCCCTTTCCGTGTGTTTTTTCATTGTTTTTTCAACCTGACCGGCTCGCTCGAGCCTTTCTATGGTGGGTTCCCCTCGAAACCGGCCTGACCCGGAAATCCACTGTTCTTGGCCTGTTCTTTCGGTTGACACTGGGCAACTGGGGCTGGCATCTTGGAGTTGAACCCTTCAAGCGCTGATCGAACGTGGGTGATTTTTGTGTTCCCGGATGATAGCCTTTTTTCTGTGTTCTTCACGTCGACATGGGTTTCAGTGGTTGGTTTAGCTGTTTGTTGTGTTCTGTTCACTTTAGCGGGTTGCAACCAACATGTTTATTTTGCTCGCATGCCAAGTGCGACTTGTTTGGGCGGTGAGGTGTGGACATTGACATGTGGCTATGGATTTTGATGGGGCATCCTCCAGCACGTGCGCATAACCCTAAACAATGCCCACCAGAGGATCCCCACTTCACAATTCAGATCCATTTTATTCTGGACAAAGGCAAGCCGCAAGAAAGTTTGCTTCGGTTTCGGAACGGGGCCCTTCATGGGTGATGTCCAGTGAATGGGAGTGAAGCCTCTATGTTGAAGAGTCTTAAACGGCCTTCCTCTATGTTCTCTTTCAACCAGAGGGTTTTGACCTGCCCTGTTTGCGCGTAAAGAAGGCCCTTTGGGGTTCCTTTGTTTTGGGATGGGGTTGAATCCGAGGTTTTGGTTGCGGATCTTTGGGGATGGTTAGCATTCGAAGGGTTGAAAGTACCGCATCGGTCTGCTCAGTTGTCTGACGTTTTAGCGTGGATTCCAAGGAGGGAATCAAAAGGAAAACAGTCTTTCAACCGCAGCTTATTACTAGACTTCACCAACCCCATTTGCCCTTTTCTGGGTTTCCTTCGATTTCCCTTTTAACCAGACAGTCCCACGTGCTCTTTGCAGATGTTGGTTTGCGGGGATTCGGGGAAGTATATCACGCCTCCCATGATGACGTGTTCTTTACTGGGCTTCCCAAATCTTCACTGACTTGGTGTATAAAATAACTTGCTCGGATGCACTTTTTACTTCAAGGTCTTCTGGGCAGATGAGATCGGGTGTCTCCTGCTGCACCAAACAATTAATTCAGTGCTTCCTTCTGGGTGCTGGAAAGCGGCGGTGTGTTGGCTTGCATTTAGCACACGTGATGATGGCACTGATGGGTAATTTGCAACCGAGACCTTGGGTCTCTGACGAAATTCAGTGCTGCCTTCCTTCTGAGTGCTGCAACGAGCTTGTGAGTTGTGTTGTCGCTGTTGGTGTGCAGGCAGCACACGTGATGATGGCACTGATGGGTAATTTGCAACCGAGACCTTGGGTCTCTGGCGAAATTCAGTGCTGCCTTCCTTCTGAGTGCTGCAACGAGCTTGTGAGTTGTGTTGTCGCTGTTGGTGTGCAGGCAGCACACGTGATGATGGCACTGATGGGTAATTTGCAACCGAGACCTTGGGTCTCTGACGAAATTTAGTGCTGCCTTCCTCTGAGTGCTGCAACGAGCTTGTGAGTTGTGTTGTCGCTGTTGGTGTGCAGGCAGCACACGTGATGATGGCACTGATGGGTAATTTGCAACCGAGACCTTGGGTCTCTGACGAAATTCAGTGCTGCCTTCCTTCTGAGTGCTGCAACGAGCTTGTGAGTTGTGTTGTCGCTGTTGGTGTGCAGGCAGCACACGTGATGATGGCACTGATGGGTAATTTGCAACCGAGACCTTGGGTCTCTGACGAAATTTAGTGCTGCCTTCCTCTGAGTGCTGCAAACAGCGTGTGCGTTGTGTTGTTGCCGTTGGCTTGCATTTGGCACAAGTGATGATGGCACTGATGGGTAATTTGCAACCGAGACCTTGGGTCGCTGGCGAAATTTAGTGCTGCCTTCCTTCTGAGTGCTGCAACGAGCTTGTGAGTTGTGTTGTCGCTGTTGGTGTGCAGGCAGCACACGTGCTGTTGGCACTGATGGGTAATTTGCAACCGAGATCTTGGGTCTCTGACGAAATTCAGTGCTGCCTTCCTTCTGAGTGCTGCAACGAGCTTGTGAGTTGTGTTGTCGCTGTTGGTGTGCAGGCAGCACACGTGATGATGGCACTGATGGGTAATTTGCAACCGAGCCCTTGGGTCTTTGACGAAATTCAGTGCTGCCTTCCTTCTGAGTGCTGCAACGAGCTTGTGAGTTGTGGTGTCGCTGTTGGCTTGCATTCGGCACACGTGATGATGGCACTGATGGGTAATTTGCAACCGAGACCTTGGGTCTCTGACGAATCTCAGTGCTGCCTTCCTCTGAGTGCTGCAAACAGCTTGTGAGGATTTGTGAAGCGTGTTGTGGCTGTGTTGGCTTGCATTCAGCACAAGTGATGATGGCACTGATGGGTAATTTGCAACCGAGACCTTGGGTCTCTGACGAAATTCAGTGCTGCCTTCCTCTGAGTGCTGCAAACAGCTTGTGAGGATTTGTGAAGCGTGTTGTCGCTGTTGGCTTGCATTCAGCACAAGTGATGATGGCACTGATGGGTAATTTGCAACCGAGACCTTGGGTCTCTGACGAAATTCAGTGCTGCCTTCCTTCTGAGTGCTGCAACGAGCTTGTGAGTTGTGTTGTCGCTGTTGGTGTGCAGGCAGCACACGTGATGATGGCACTGATGGGTAATTTGCAACCGAGACCTTGGGTCTCTGACGAAATTCAGTGCTGCCTTCCTTCTGAGTGCTGCAACGAGCTTGTGAGTTGTGTTGTCGCTGTTGGTGTGCAGGCAGCACACGGGATGATGGCACTGATGGGTAATTTGCAACCGAGACCTTGGGTCTCTGACGAAATTTAGTGCTGCCTTCCTTCTGAGTGCTGCAACGAGCTTGTGAGTTGTGTTGTCGCTGTTGGTGTGCAGGCAGCACACGTGATGATGGCACTGATGGGTAATTTGCAACCAAGGCCTTGGGTCTCTGACGAATCTCAGTGCTGCCTTCCTCTGAGTGCTGCAAACAGCTTTTGAGGATTTGTGAAGCGTGTTGTCGCTGTGTTGGCTTGCATTCAGCACACGTGATGATGGCACTGATGGGTAATTTGCAACCGAGACCTTGGGTCTCTGACGAAATTCAGTGCTGCCTTCCTTCTGAGTGCTGCAACGAGCTTGTGAGTTGTGTTGTCGCTGTTGGTGTGCAGGCAGCACACGTGATGATGGCACTGATGGGTAATTTGCAACCGAGACCTTGGGTCTCTGACGAATCTCAGTGCTGCCTTCCTCTGAGTGCTGCAACAGCTTTGTGAGTTGTGTTGTCGCTGTTGGTGTGCAGGCAGCACACGTGATGATGGCACTGATGGGTAATTTGCAACCGAGACCTTGGGTCTCTGACGAAATTCAGTGCTGCCTTCCTTCTGAGTGCTGCAACGAGCTTGTGAGTTGTGTTGTCGCTGTTGGTGTGCAGGCAGCACACGTGATGATGGCACTGATGGGTAATTTGCAACCGAGCCCTTGGGTCTTTGACGAAATTCAGTGCTGCCTTCCTTCTGAGTGCTGCAACGAGCTTGTGAATTGTGGTGTCGCTGTTGGCTTGCATTCGGCACACGTGATGATGGCACTGATGGGTAATTTGCAACCGAGACCTTGGGTCTCTGACGAATCTCAGTGCTGCCTTCCTCTGAGTGCTGCAAACAGCTTGTGAGGATTTGTGAAGCGTGTTGTGGCTGTGTTGGCTTGCATTCAGCAGAAGTGATGATGGCACTGATGGGTAATTTGCAACCGAGACCTTGGGTCTCTGACGAAATTCAGTGCTGCCTTCCTCTGAGTCCCGCAAACAGCTTGTGAGGATTTGTGAAGCGTGTTGTCGCTGTTGGCTTGCATTCAGCACAAGTGATGATGGCACTGATGGGTAATTTGCAACCGAGACCTTGGGTCTCTGACGAAATTCAGTGCTGCCTTCCTTCTGAGTGCTGCAACGAGCTTGTGAGTTGTGTTGTCGCTGTTGGTGTGCAGGCAGCACACGTGATGATGGCACTGATGGGTAATTTGCAACCGAGACCTTGGGTCTCTGACGAAATTTAGTGCTGCCTTCCTCTGAGTGCTGCAAACAGCAGCGTGTGCGTTGTGTTGTTGCGGTTGGCTTGCATTCAGCACAAGTGATGATGGCACTGATGGGTAATTTGCAACCGAGACCTTGGGTCTTTGACGAAATTCAGTGCTGCCTTCCTTCTGAGTGCTGCAACGAGCTTGTGAGTTGTGTTGTCGCTGTTGGTGTGCAGGCAGCACACGTGATGATGGCACTGATGGGTAATTTGCAACCGAGACCTTGGGTCTCTGACGAAATTTAGTGCTGCCTTCCTCTGAGTGCTGCAAACAACGTGTAAGGATTTGTAAAGCGCGTTGTCGCTCTGTTGGGGTGCAGGCAGCACACGTGATGATGGCACTGATGGGTAATTTGCAACCGAGACCCTTGGTCTCTGACGAAATTCAGTGCTGCCTTCCGCTGAGTGCGCTTGTAAGGATTTGTAAAGCGTGTTGTTGCTGCATTGGTGTGCAGGCAGCACACGTGATGATGGCACTGATGGGTAATTTGCAACCGAGACCCTTGGTCTCTGACGAAATTCAGTGCTGCCTTCCTCTGAGTGCGCTTGTAAGGATTTTTAAAGCGTGTTGTTGCTGCGTTGGTGTGCAGGCAGCACACGTGATGATGGCACTGATGGGTAATTTGCAACCGAGACCCTTGGTCTCTGACGAAATTCAGTGCTGCCTTCCTTCTGAGTACTGAAAAACGCTTGTGCATTTTCTTTGGCGTTGCATTCGCTCAATTAAAGCCTCTGCATAGAGGTGTAAGGGTGTTTGTTTTGGGAAGCCCGTTTTGGCTGGCTTTTTCGGGGAAACCATAGGAAACACCACCATTTTTTTGGGATGTGTTAAAGACACACCCGAGTGTTGAGTGCTTTGAACACCATGACAAGGTAGAACGCCTTGTTTGAGACGCTGGATGCGCGCGGTGCTGCCTCAAATAACCTGACCCCCTTACTGAGCGCTTCCAGGTGCTCGTTTAACTGGTACTTTCGCAAAGTGCCCGTTTAACCAGCACTTTGTCAAGATTTCAACACCGTGAAAGGTGCGTGAGAAACCTGTGAAAGACCTGAAAATCTCGGGGAAACAGCGTGAAAAGACACCCTTCGTTTACTCATGCTAGGGCTCCCAGTAAAGACAGCACTTTCATCAAACGTGCTCGTTTTTTCTTGTCCTTTGGACTTGCTCCCCGGAGCTTGGCATGGGTTTGCGTGCTTTGGTTCTTTCTTTTTGAACCTCGGCTGCCAGAAGGAATCCCTCCGTTGGGAACGCTTCCTTGTTTGGGGGCAGGGAACCGGGAGTTGCCACTTTGGCCAGGAGCAGGAACAGCTGGCCCAGTGCCTCTCGGACGGCAAAGAAACATGCGCGAGCTTTGGCGCTTTGAAGTGTTCCGCGAGCGGGAAGAGTCAAACTCATAGTGTTTTTGTTTGTTTGTTTTGGTTTTTGTTTTAGATAGCTTTTTTGTGTTGGTTTTTGTTTTAGATAGCAACTTGGTTTTACATTCTACCGGCAAATTGGTAGAAGTTTGCTTCGGTTTCCTTCGCCTTCTTGCCACTCAGTCCCCATCTTTGTGGACTCGGTTTGATTGGAACGGCTTGGGTGTTTCACCCTTGTGCCTTCAACCAGCCGGAGTCAACTTTGGGGTCGCCTGGCCTAAGTTGGAATCATGAAACATGACACGTTTCATGTTGGAATGTGTGTGTTGCCCAGTAGTGCTTTTTTTTCCTTTTTCGGGGTAAGGGTTCCCCTTCTCAACTCAACCAACAAACAAAGGTGCCCGTGTTTCCCGTGGCCAGTGGGCATCCGAGTAAATCTCGCTTGCTGGAGCATATCACTGTTCCTTTCTCGTGGGAGAAGCGGACAAGCATTCTTAGCATATACGCCTCTGAGAAGGCTTCAACGGCAATCTGGTGGGCGGGGTCGAGAAAGCACTAGCGCTCCATTTTTCCGGCAGCTGCTGGGCAAGCAACTCAGCAAGTAGAGGGGTGATTGCGCGATGAAGCTGCCCGATATACTTCTCAGTTGTTCAGTGGCACCCTTTTTCCCTTTTTTTGGTTTCCCCACCAAAAATGGCCTTCCCCAAAAAGGGTTCCCCCTTTTTTCCCAAGAAAATGGTTCCCCAAAAAGGGTTTCACTAAAATGGCTCCCCAAAAAGCGTCACCGAACCACCGATATACGTTGCTCCAGTTGGCCATCTACCCTTCAACGGCGAAGGTGGGCAGAGAGGTTTTTCCCGAAGTTGTCCCACACCTTCGGAGCTTCCGTTTTCCAGGTCCGCAAAGGAACCTTTGGGGTTTCTGGTTTCGGGCCAATTTTTTGGCCGAGATCCCAGGAAAATTCGGCGGTTCCGGATGTTCTTTCCGCCCGGACCTCCGGTCCGCTGGCAGTTATTTATTATGTTCCCACGAAAATCAAACAAAGAAAGGTGCCCTCCCATATTCCACTGGAGGTCTGAAGGGTCTTTGAACTCTATCAAGCATCCATTTAGAGTTTCCGCAACATGGGACTCTGTCCATTTCCTAGAAAAATAGCAACTCCCTTTGGGGTTCCCGCTAGATCTCCAACCAAACCGGCACGGCTCACTGGATTCCCCCCTTCAAGAGTGCAATTTACTGGGACTTTGGGAACCTCCAAAAGGGAAGAGGAAATCTAGAAGGAGGCTTCACACAAAAACAAAACACTCTAGGATTACCTTTCCCATTCTTCCCAGGGATCCTCCTTTCCAGAAAACCTCAAGAAGCACGATCAGGAAAACGACAAGTTTATGAAAAGAACGATGCGTGGTTAAAAAAACAAGTGGTTGGATTCATCCGATAGAAACATGGAAGCCAAACAAGGGTTAGTTGTGCTTGGCGGCTCCCAGTGGTCCAGTTCCAAAGCTTTTTAGCTTTTCTTGTTGGTTTCTTTGGTGCATTTTGGACTTTTGCCAATTCATGGGTTTTTCATCGAACCACTAAAAGCTAAACTTTAGCAGGGGAGCAGGAAGCAACCGAGGTTTAGTGGGGGTTTCCATTTACAAACATCCCCTAGAAACACACTTCCATCTCCCCCTTCCAGAGCCCCCCTCGCCGTGCCAAGGCAGCGTGCCCGAGGACGCCGTAGAGCCCACGCCGGAGGCGTAGAGCCCTCCGGGATTGGCGGTCCTTTGAGACCTTTTTTTTGTGGGAGGCCTGTTCCGAGCCAATCCTCCAGTTTCTTATGAGGTTGTTTTAGTTGGTTTAGTGCTTTTTAGGTTTAAAAGTGGCTCCAACTTTGAGCAGGGATTCAGTTCGGACAGCCCAGTTGTGGGGTTGTTTGGTTCTCTCAGAAGACAAACCCACATGACTCCTTGAGTTGATGGACTTTAGTCACGTTTAGGAAAAGAGAAGTTTAGTGGCAAACAGAAAGTGAGTAAGTGTTTAGTTATCATTATTTTTTTGCAGGCTCCGAATGTTGCTTAAGTTTGGTTGATGTGTTGTGCTTTGAGGGATCGAACACGGTGGTTTCATGACATCAAAAGGTTCCTCAATTTGAAGGGTTCGAAGTATCATATCCCTCTGTTGTTTTGCTTGAGTCTCAACTCGCCATTTGTTTCCATGTCTCTTTTTCATCCCGCAACAATGTCCCGTTGGGGATGAGTGGCTGCCTGTACAAAGCCATCCACAAAGGGCCCTCATTTTGAGGCAGACCGCCTGCGACTGGCTACTCTTCCGCTTAAGATGGATTGTCACACGCCCTTTAGTCTTAGAGGATACTACTGTATTTGTGGAGGGGGGACCCCGTTTTGGGAGATCAATGTGCATTCGCAGAGTGTAAACCATTTTGACAAGGAAAAACAAAAAAAACGGAAAATATATCTCGCTTGCCCAAAGCGATTTGTTACCTTCTGACCTTCTAGCTTCTCCCTTGTGATCCACATTTCATGGTTGCTGTTGGACACATTTGTCCCATGTTTGCTTGTTGTGGTTTAGTGGTTGAAATCCAAATCCACCTAGCTGCTACATGTTCATTGTTTGCTCCCCTTCCAACGTCAACCAAGTTTTAGTGTCATGGTTTCAATAGGGCTGGCCTCATTGTTTTGTCATGATCAAAGTCACCCCTAAGTGGTGGGCTAAGGGGAAACAACCCCATTTTCTGACTTTGATGACCCCCAGAAACCGTCAAAATAAAGACCCCAGTAGGTGATCACCCGGTTTTCTATGGGCAACTGAGACATGGTTACCTTTGCTTTTGGTAATTGCGCCTGGGCGCAAGAACTTGAAACGGAGCGACTTATCCATTTTTCATTGCCAGATGGATCGCCTACCTTTTTAGTTGTTTGGTCTGGTTGGGTTTCCTTCCTCCCTTCCTCCCTTCCCTCCCTCCCTCCCTCCCGCCTTCCTTCCGTCCTTCCTTCCTTCCTTCCTTCCTTCCTTCCTTCCTTCCTTCCTTGATTTCCATCCAAGCAAGCAACCTTTTAACAAGAAAGGTTAACTTTTGCAGGGGGTCTAGTCCAAGTCTGGCGCGGCAAGGAGACTTCATTACTTTAGGGGACACCCCCCTTCGATAAGGACTACTTGTGTGGGGAACGACCCCGTTGCGACAGAGCAACTTGCAGAGAGATAGACTCGCGCAGAGAGCTCAGATAAACACTGAAAGCCCCCCCCTTCGAAGTGGCATCGATAACTTGAGAGTAATTTGAGCCGAGAACTTGTGAGAGAAACTTGCTCAGACACACTTGCTAAGAGAAACTTTATCAGACGACCTGCGCAGACAAACTTGCAGAGGGGATTTGCGCAGAGACCACTAGAGCTGAGAACATGCTTCGCTCACTATATATTATGCTTTCGTGCCACCCGTTCTTCTAGTATATTTTGCCCAGATTGCATCCACCAGTTGTTCAAGAAAAAGCGGCTACTGAACACATTAACCCACACCCTTCCTTGCGGTGCTGGCTTTGTAGGGGATAGCTATTGCTTCCTCACAATTTCTTTTTCAATCTGAGTTGACGTACGTTAAGGGCGTAAAACGTTAGAATAAGGTTGGGGGATACCCGAACCCAGATTGAGTCATGATAAGAGCTTTATGGTAGCAATTGGGTGGTGTCCTATTTTGAGAAAGAACACGCATAATTACTTGTTGTGGGGGGCCCTTTAGTCTTGAGATAGCTGCCCAGAGAGTCTTTTAATTAAGGATTGATGTTTGGGGGTTAACATGTCAAAAGGGTGTTGGACCCGGTGTTTCTTGCTGCGATTCACTTCCCGAATTTGCAGGCGGTCGTGAGCTACGGAGAGGTGCTGAGCGAGTTGGTTCAAGCAAAGTGCCGCACTCAGGTTGTGGGTGTTGGCTCATGTGAGACCGGGGCGACATTCTTATAAACAGGCTTAACTGAGTGTTCATAGTCTCCCGTGCAAGCTGAATGGATTGCCATCGATAGAGGATTCACAGACGAAACGATGCGGTTGCACCATACCCCTGCAAAATACAAAGCAAAGAAACGGAAACCGATACCGGGACCGCCGATCTTTGTTGGGAAGTGTGTACGGCACTCTTTTGTTTTTGTCTCTCTGGGGTCCATTTGGCTTTGGTTTCAACAAGACTGCAGAGCCTTTCAGAAGGCCATGTTCGAACCGAACCAAGCTCCAAATGGGAGGAAAGCCAAAGATGGCTTCGGTTTCCTTTGAGTTTCCCGTTAGAAGTGCTGGCAACAACAAGACTACCTGCCCATGTTTCCCTTTGGGTGTTGGTTTTGAAGTCAACCGACAAAGAAAGGTTTGCTGGTAGCCATGGTCAGTATTATGGTCATCAGGCGAGAAGTGAGAGGCGCAAATGAATCAAGACAGTTTGCTGTTTCCCTTTGGGTGTTGGTTTTGAAGTCAACCGACAAAGAAAGGTTTGCTGATATCCATGGTCATTATTATGGAGAGGCGCAAATGAATCAAGACAGTTTGCTCCCGGAATATTGCAAAGAAAGACTGCCAGCCGTTTAGCGTTTGGTTTGCTTGAAATCAAAGAATCATCCGTCAACCGCACCTCCTTTGATTCCATGCCCCAGCAATGTTTGGTGGTTGCTCCTGCTGCTTGTCCTCGGCGCTGGCTTTCCATACTGTTTTTGGGGTGGGTGGGTGTCCATCTCGATGCTTGAATGCTTTGTTGTTGGACCTTTAATCGTCCAAGTCACAAATGTGGTCTCTCAAACTGACCAGCGAACCATGAGGGTGTTGGTTCCGCCCATCAATGAATGCTCTTCTTACCCGTTCAGTCTCCAAGCTGAAAAAACTTTGTACAGCTGTCTTCATTTGTGTTTAGAGCCACAAAGTTCACTCTTGTAGTCCATCACCTCCGCAGATCAATCTTGATGTTTCCCCGGGGCCGATGGCTTGGCCAAAAAAACACGGCGAAACCCTTTTTGCAACTCAAACGTGAAACCGGGGGAAACGAACTGGCGCCCCTCTGTGGGTAAAATCTAAGCCCATTCTGGCCAAACCGAATCTTTCCAAACGAGCACAAGAAATCGGAAGCGCAAAGGGTGTTTTAAAATAGAACAATGGGTGACTCTGTTGCCCAGATTTGCTCCCGTAAATGAACAGTTGAGCTTTTGGAACCTTGACTAAAATGGTTGCCAAAATGGGAAACCAAAAGGTGCTGGACAACTGAGTTGAAAGAAAGGGGCTGTGGGATGGAGACAACCCCACCTGCTTAACTGAAAATTCGATCCGGGTTTTGTTGGATGTGGTTCCCCCCAAATTAGGTGTGGGACCGCTGCGCGAAAAGCATTGACATGCTTCTTGAATTTGCGGGATCACCTGATCCAACTTCATGCTCAACCAAAAATGGGGAGTCATAGACTCTTTGGGAAAACAGCATAGTACCTCTGACTAATAGCCCCCCCGCTCGACATGCTCCAGCAAAACTTTGTTTGGGGAACTCCCCCCGTCTTCAGTGCTCTCCAGTCCTCTCCCGTCCTCCCCGCTGCCCCACAAAAAAAACAACTTAAAAAAGGAAAGCAACAGGAACCAGGTTTCTGTTCTTGTTTCAATCAGACAAGAACGCTGTTGCCATGGTCACTGTGGAAGATTGAGTTGGGCCTTTGCTTCTGTGCCAAAGTAACCCCACGGGAATCAACTGCACCTGGAAACCGCTGTCCGTGAGGTCGGAGCAGATCGCCGGCATCGCCATGGTGTGGCTGGTGATGCTGGGCGCGAGCCTGCATGGCGCCTCGTCCAATCTGGGCAAAAGCCAAGGGGCGGGAGGGTTGTCAAATGGGTATGGGTCAAAATTGAACCACCAGCGGACCGCAGGTTTTGGTCCGCTGGCATGGTCCACTTGCCAGGGTTCCATTTTGGGTACCCATTTTTGACACAGCCAAATAATGACGTGTGTGGTCTCCAAGCTTTAAACTTTGTACAGCTGTCTCTCTTCAGAAATTTGGGTCTAGAGCCACAAAGTTCACACTTGTTGTAGTGGGCCAACTCCGCAGATCAATCTTGATGTATCCCGCAATGTTAGGGGCCCGCTGGCTTTGCATCGGGCTTAGGGTCCCTAACTTGGTTCGAAATTTTCAGTTGGGCAGGTGGGGTTGTCTCTACAATCCGTGGCTTTCCTTTTGGTTCTAGGGGTGCCCCATTCTTTTTCATTTCCAAAACCTGGTGGTTTTCCCCTTTGGCAACCATTTTTATAGAGACGGTTCCAAAAACTTAACCTTTCATTATTTTTCTATTCTTAAACCTTTGCGCTTCCCATTTCTGGTGTTCTGGACAGAGAGGGGAAGGTGCGCTTAGATTGGCAGGGATATGCAGGGATCCTTACGTGAAAAACACCTGAGCATTGCCTTGTAAATGGTGGTTTCCCTTTTCTTTGGTGGAAAAAGCCATGTTTCAAACGGTTGCAAACTGTATCTTTTAAGGAGCCCTGATTGGTTTTCCTTGTTTTTAACCACGGGGCGCCAGTGAGTTCCTGGTTTCACGTTTGGGTTATGCAAAGTGTAGGTTGTTTTGGGCCATGCTGGATATAGTTCCCCAAAAGTGAGGTCATGGACCGCAGCGCGACATGTTTCTGGAATTTACGGGATCACCTGAGCCACAATCAAAACCCGGGTAGATGAAGGTGAGTAAGGGGCAGTCCCAGCCAGAAATAGTTGCGGCCGCCTTCTTAATTCTTTTCATGGTTCTGGGTAGACCATTTTAATACCGGGTTTTGATTGTGACTCACCTGATAAACTTTAGGAAACCAGCTGTACCTTGTACCTCTGACTAATATTCCCTCCCCCTTCGAAAGGCTCCCCTGAGAAACTTTGTTTGGAGACTCCCTGAGCAGCCCCCCGTCCAGTCGTCTCCAGTGCTCTCTAGTCCTCTCCTAGCCTCTGTGCCCCCATAGAACAGCAACAGGAAAGTAAGAGGAAGCTGTTTTCAGTTGTTCAATCAGCCAAGAAAGCTGGTGCCATGGTCGCTGTGGAAGATTTTTCGTTGAGGCATTGTTTCTGTGCCAAAGTGACACCACGCGGAATCAAGAGAGCCGATTGGATTTCATTTGAGCTGAGCAGCGCCCCGAAACTCCAAGGGCTGTTTCAGTACCACTTGGTTTGATGAAGTTGAGTACCCCTGTGACCATGTCGTCGCCAAGAGTCAGGGCTGGGTTTCGGGCGCAACGAACACTCGTGAGCCTAGCCTTACTCCCCTGCAATTTCCTTGATGGGGCCCAAGAAGGGGCGCCCTGAAAAAGGAGGTTTCTCTGAAAATCATGGGCTGGTGCAGGGCTCCTTAAAAGATACATTTTGCAACCATTTTAAACATGTTGTTTTTTCAACACCAAAATAAAGGGACACCACCATTTACAAGGCAATGTTCAGGTGTACAATGTAAGGATTTCTGTGGTGGGTTTCATGTTAAGCGTATCCTTTGGAACGTCCTTTTGCTCCGTTTGAGGGGTCCGAAAACGGTTAACCTTTGCATTTCCAGAAGCTTTGGGCAGAGCTGCTGTTGCTTCCGATCTTATTATGAAGTCTGTGCAAAGACTTCCCATCATACCCTTGAGGGGCACACCTGCTGACTTGACACTCCTTCCTTCCTTCCTCCCTCCCTTCCTTCCTTCCTTCCTCCCTTCCTTCCCTTCCCTTCCCTTCCCTTCCCTTCCCTTCCCTTCCCTTCCCTTCCCTTCCCTTCCCTTCCCTTCCCTTCCCTTCCTCCCTCCCTCCCTTCCTTCCTTCCTTCCTTCCTTCCTTCCTTCCTTCCTTCCTTCCTTCCTTCCCGCCTTCCTTCACGGCTTGCTTGCTTGCTTGCTTGCTTGCTTGCTTGCTTGCTTGCTTGCTTGCTTGCTTGCTTGCTTGCTTGCTTGCTTGCTTGCTTGCTTGCTTGCTTGCTTGCTTGCTTGCTTGCTTGCTTGCTTTCCTGCCTTCCTGCCTGCCTGCATGTCTTTTGCTTCTTTGCTTCCCAAGCTCACATGGGTTAATTCAACACTCCCGAGCCAGTGTTTCTCGAAGCCGAGGCCTACCCTACTGCTCAGCCAAGTACGGCATCTTTGTGCGAAGCGCTGACACGTGTTTCTTCTCCCCGAAGTAACAGGCGACAAAAGTCGAAGGGCCAGCCTATACCCGGCAGGGTTTTGGGAGTTGCAGCTTTGCGGGCCAATCGCGCCTTACGGGTGGACTGGATGCAGCGTTGCAGCACTCCTCAGTCTTGAAGTTACTAGTACAGCAAAACCATGGGGGATTCCAGGAATTGGACATTTGGCTGTGGCTCAAAATTAAACAGGAGGGGCAAACCGCAGGTTTTGGTCCATGTTTCCACTTGCCAGGGCAACCCATTTTGGAATTCGTTTTTTTTTTGAGCCACAGCCATTTGGCCCCGGGGGGGGTCCATGTTCTGCGAAATGTCTACGCAGGTCCCTCGGAACCCGAGCGGTTTGGCGGTTTGGGGAGGGGGGATTGGGTTCTTGCGGTGTGCTTCAGGGTGGGCCAAAAGGATACCCGCTCAAACGCCAAACATACGACTCTTTGCGGTTTATCAATCAGACCAAGCCGAGTCTTGTAGTTCACACAGTTGTCCCAGCCCCGGATGTATCAGATGGATACTTCACCAATCCAACATGTTCACCTACATCAGTTGATTTCCAATCGAGCCGCCTTAAGGCGGACATTGATGTTGGTATCACAGAAGTGTTTGCAACCCGGTTGCCCTTGTCGGGTCCAAGTACCTTGTCAGGTGGGCAAGCCACAAAACCCCGAGAAATACCATCCTAAGGCACCAAGAGACCTTCCAAGTGTTTGGCCCAATTTGACAAAAGGCAAGTGGTTTTGACGGGAAACCCGGAGGGGGCATCGATAAAACATAGCCGACCTCGCGACCTCGCTCGCCTCCGAGTCCAGTCCCTTGCTTGTGGAATCCGCACGGAGTGTGGATCAGGAACATCGTGGGGAGATGACTTTTTGTTGAAATTTCATGTCAGATGAGGATGCAATTCTAGGGGTGCCTTCCATTTCCATTCTTTCCAGGCATCCTTCTTTCTTCCAAAAAAAACACTCCCTGGGGAAACAGCTGGTTGTGAAAAGAACGATGGTTGAAAATAATGGGGAATCAACCCCTGGAACAATGGCTATTGACAGTGGCTCGAGTCTAGTGAGTTTAGTTCCCTATGACTTATGAACTTGTTCGCTTAAGGTCTTGGACCTTTAGATGCAGAATACCGTGGGGCCGCAGATGTTCTAACATACTATCGGTGTTGCGGGTGAATTGGCATCGCAGATTTGGGTAATCCCCTTGTCATTTATTGGTGGTGTTGTCGGTCGTCAGGTGAAGCAGAGGGGTAGCTTCACTGTTCTTGGCTTCTTTTTTGTTGTTTACCTTTTGTTTGGTTGGTTCTGTTCATTTCAGTGGGTGGCTGCAAACAAAAGCAAGTTTGGAAAGGTAGACACTTGCTCGGTTTGTCTTCTGCGTCCTTGGATTATGGGGTCCACTGAGTTCCGATGAACACCAATTCGATGCCAGTGGTCCTGGCCGCGTTGCTGGTGACTTTTGCGTTGCTGATGCCAGCTCCTGAGGCGGCCAACATGCGAAAGCTCTGTTGCCCAGTGGTGCCCATGTTTTTCCTTTTTTGGGGGGAGGGTTCCCCTTTAAACTCACCTGACAACAAGAGGGTGCCCTTTTTTGTTCCCATGGAAATCCACTGGGCATCTGCGATAGTTACTGGGTCGTTTAAACGAACGTCTTTCATGTTTGCTTTAAGATTGTGGACCGAGCAGAAATTTACATCCTGGGTTGCAGGTTAAATGTGAATGGGCATTGTCAGTGTTTCAACCGTGTCAGAGTATCCCAATGTTTGAGAGCTTTCAAGGATCATTGGGATGCTTGAAGTCATATGACCGGGACTTTGGCGTGCTGAGACATTTTAATGTTGACCCAGGATTAATACACCCGTCCCATTATTAGGGGGTTCCCTCCAAAAGTGGTCTGAATCCAACCACTAAAAGGGGACACCCCCCTATCAAAATCAACCAGGGGTTTATGAATCGGGGGTTAACATTAAGCTTCGCAGTTGTGGTTCAGAATCAAACGTAGGTTGGGCTTTCGAAGGCCGAGATAGGATCAGTGCAGCACAAGTGAGGGTTGGGACAGGCAGCATGCCTGTTGAGTCGGCAAGTCTTTTACTAGATTTCTTGGGGCAATCAGTTTCAAAAGTCTTTGTTTCCTTGATATCTAATAGATACTGAACAAAATAATAAGATCATGTGCGCTCCCTCAGACTATGGAAGCTCCCAGAAGGCCTTTGTACATGGAACCAAGTCTTCCATATCGGGGTCCTGGGAGCTTCCAGGTCTGAGGGAATGTAAGCAAACACCCACAAGTTTCTGCCCTAGCTTTGCCGAGCTTTGGCGACAACCTTGTCAGCCAAGGATGAAGGTCTCCTAGGAATTCCTCGATTGATTTCAGAGATCTTTGTTTTCTGAATGTCCGAGCTTTGGAACATGTTTGGTCATTTTGGTTCATCCAAATTCGGAATGGTTGACCCAATTCGGCTGACTTAACCCTTTAAGTAAACAAATAGCGGCTATATGACCCCCCATGGTTTGGCTCGCGCTCCCCTCCGTCCCGAGGACCTGGCGCTTCCAGCCCACGTCGTACCTGAACCCGATCGACTGGCTGAAGGGTGATGAGGTGGGGACAGACGATACAAGCCACCCTTAGGGCCCCAGAATGGAGACCCGGGAAATTGGAGGGTAGGCTCTTGTTTACATGGGTTTGGGTTGAACGTTTTACTACTGTGCCATATGTTGATTCTGTCTCAATCAAAGGCTTATGAGTGAGGCGCTAATAAGGAGGGGGAGCGGGGTTGATCCTATGACAGATGGTCATCCTGCATTTTGGCTTATCTTTTTTTGAGGCTCCTACTATTTGTTCAACCCTTCCATTTCCAGGTTGGTTGGGCATGTGTTGGTAGGGGCATCGTGATGGCTTTCCTGATTTCTGGTTCGTACCACAACACCGGCATTTTTGTTTCTGGTTTTGGGCAGTCTGTCTGATAAACCGAGAACTAAACAACCCATGCCCAGTCTCCCCCAAAGACCACCACAAGGGGCAGTCTATTCTGGAGTGTTTTTTGACGGCCACTCAAAAGAAAGCTGTTCCGAAATTGGGGGGGCCGGTTACCCTCACCCAGACAGTTTGGGGCAGAGAATGCTTGACCCAGTTGGTCAGTGGTTCCGTTTTTATTTTTCCCTTTTTTGGGAAGGGTTCCCCTTTAAAGTCAACCAACCCAACAAAATCGGATGGCCATTTTTCCTCATGGAAATCCACTGGGCATCTGAGTTGAGATCCAAAATCCCGCAGAGCTCTCCGCCAGAACCGGCACCCCATGACCTTCCCCATGGTGGCCTTTGGCCGGCGCCCCAGCGACGAGACGCCATAGAAGAGCGCGGCGCGTTTAGGTAGAACTTGGAAACCATCATTGCAGTCGGGTCGCTTTTTTGCGGTTTCGGGGGGGGGGGGGCAAAGTCGGCGGGGGCTGTTTGCCCTTGCGGGGGTTGGCTTTGATGATTAAATACTGAGGCCAGCTAGCCCCAAGACCCAAGACGTTCAAGCCACGACCTGTTTGACCCCCCGGTGTTGACCAGCTTTCTTCTATTTTGCGCCGTCTTTTGTCAACAGCTCTGTTGATGGAGTAGATGTGTCTGTGTGTGTGGGCGATAGGAAGCAAGCGGTCCTGGAGCTTGATATTGTGCCCAAGCTGTTTTGAAGTCTGCAGGATTTTAGAGTCCCCCCGTGTCCCTCCCAGATGATGCATAGACCAAAAGTAATATAGTGGTGTTGACTAGCCTTATACGGGTGTGTCTTTTTTTTTGGGGGGGGGGGGGCAATAAATATGCCCTTTGGTTGTGGGTTAAACGTCCAACTCTCTCAATTCATTCAACGCCGCTACGCTGGTCAATCTTTATTTTCCAGTTGGCCGCCCACTGCTCGACCTGCTCACCCGCCATTGTTCAGATCAGCTTGCCGTCACAAGTCCGTTCTTGCCAGATGTGGATCATGAACGCATGCGTGTCACATTATTTCTTGAAAAATGATCTTGCCCAAAGCAAATCTAGGTCCATCCCTAACTTCTGAGATGCAACGCATGAACCTTTAAACAAACATCGAACCCCTAAACAACTCCAACAACCGCCATCTTCGGGTAACATGGGGCTCAATGGATGTTCCACAAACACCATGCGACTCACCAAATTTATCATGCCTGCTTTGGGGGGAACAAGCGATTGTGATTGTGGCTTATACAAGGCTTGGTCACCACATGTATTTGGTCGGCTAAAAGTTGAGGCAGATGGTCGGACATATCAGCCACAATGAAAACCCGGGTAGCTGAAGGTTGGTAGGGATCGTCCCAGCCAGAATGAGGTGCAGCTCTTTTTTATTCTTTACATGGTTCTGGGTAGACCATACTAATACCAGGTTTTGATTGTGAATGCGATAATCACCCTACCCCAGCTGGGTACCCGGTTTGCATCTGCGGTTTGGAGGTGGGCGCCTTTTTCATGAATCGACAAGGGTTCAATCCCAACCAATCCAAACCGGCAGCTGTAGGGAACCTGAGGTCTTTGCTTTTTTTGGGCGGGTTTGAAAGGGGCAGACCATCGAAACCCAGGGTCTGCCCGAGATTTGCTTAGATGGCAAGGCACTGGATTCCTGGGCGCCATGCTAGGCGCGGGAGGGCCTTGGCATTCGGGAGGGCCGAAGCATCCCTCCCCTACGCACCACGTCGAACCCAAGCGACCACCACCATTTGTAGAGGAAACCCCTTTTGGCGGAACCCCTTTGTGGGTTCCATGTTATTGTCTGGCTGCTTTACAATAGCGCAATCAGCACACGAGCCAACGGAAGGTTTGCCCGCACAAGCCAGACGATATCTAACAAATGGGGTCCAGCTTGCACTGAAGGACAGTCATGTGCTTGGAGGGACTCTTTGCCAAGAGCAACATTGTCACTAGCCCAACAAAAACAATATAGACATACGCAAAAAGTCATTGGCACGAAGATGTGCAGTGTAAACCCAGGATTAATAAACTGGTGGAGGATCAAAATAGGTTTTCCAGTTTAGAGGGAACCCTTCGCTCAGAGGGGAAGCACCTTCCCAGTGTCGGCGTCATACATCTATGCACATGTGTATACATCTTGGCCCAAATTTGCTTTTTTGTGCAAGTTTTCCAAGCAGACGTCACACGACTTTGTTTGATTTGTCCTGTTCAACGCCCACTCGAAGGCAATCCCGGCGTTTTTTGCACGCAGCCGACTCGATCTGCCTCGGTTGCAGGCCTGGGGGGCGGCATCTTGCTGAGCCCGGTCCTGATCGAGGCCGTAAGTTTTGCAAGTCAAACCCAGGGAAGGGTTCGTCTCAAGCTCAGGGACCCGACCCCCAAAAAAAGAAACGGCTCGTCTTCCTTTTTGGTGGTGCAAAACACCGACCAAAATGGAAGAATGGGCACCAAATGGAGCAAAACACCGACCAAAATGGATCATAAGAATGGGCACCAAATGTGCCCAAAGAAAGAAACACAAAACACTTGAACATATTTTTCGATCTAGAAGACGGCTCTTGTTGTTCTCAGGGGTAGCTCCACACAAGACGCATTCAAACCGTATTGTTGAACTGGGTGTAAACCCCGAGGGGTACTTGTGTTTCCCTTGAAACCATGGCCCTCATGTTAGGTGGGCTATTTGGTGTATTGGGTGCTGGACAAACTCCCTTTGGCACCCCATGGCAGAAACCATTGTTTCTGGGTATTGAGAGGTGGACCGAATCATTCCAGGTGGTGCGAAATGGATTTCCTCCATCCACAGTATGTTTGAGAGCATGTCTTTACTTGGTGATTCCCAGCCATCCCCTTAGCTTTTTAGACTTTTAGGGTTTAGTGGGGATTTCCATTTAACCCACTAAAAGTTAGTCACTTTTAGCGGGGGATCTGAAAACGGACCGCCCACGAAAGAGCTACCCAGCTGCCAGGATTCCGTGCCCAGCCCGGACAGCTTTTCGTTTCAGGTCAGCAGGGAAGACAGGTCAACAGCATCTGCTAAACCTTTGAAACCCTCCAGTTAGAAGTGAGAAGGGCAGAAGATTTGCGTTTCAACTTGCATGCATTTCAAGGAACCTGGCGTGTTGTGTGCGGATAGGCCGACCTTACTGCGGAGAATTGTTGTGGCAGGGTGGAAGATGGAAACCCTTGCAATAACAATCTCTTCACTTGGAGGTGGTGACGGCTCCCTTGCAACACAGAAGTGGAAACTGCCCCGCGCGATTGCCACAGCCCTGCTCATCTCCAGCTTGGAAGGTGGACAAATGGTGGAGTTGACAAGGTCGGTGGAGTCTTTTCAGCAAAGTCTGGCTTCCCCAGCAACATTTCTTGAAGAATTCCAAGCATCGACCCTTCTAGATATCTAAAATTTCTTGAACTCTCAACAAGAGACCATGAAGCAGCCCGCCCATTTTGTTAAGGGAACGGGGGTTCCGTCAAAACCATCCCAAAACGGGGTTTGCGCCTTCTTTTAAAACCATCCCAACACACGTTCCGAGCCTCGAAACAAGACACCCCCAAGTCCAAGTATATGACTTATAATATGCACACATCAAAATAGGGCCTATTGCGGGGCCACACAAATCCGGGTTCTTTCTTCCTCAGTGCGATCGGATCTATCGCACGCCTTGGTCGCCCGGGCCGGCAGGTGGGCATGCACAGCGAGGCAGTGCAGGCAGGTTCCGTCCACCGATCCGACGGTCCGCTCCCCATGGTAGAGGGATAGAGCGAAGACGCAGGGAACTCCGAAGCTGGAGGTAGATGATGTTTTTTTTTGCTGTTGGGGATATCACCTGAAGATATGCCTGATGTTGTTTACTAGCTGGAGGTAGATGTTGCTTTTTAACCTGTTGCCAAAAGATCAGCCGCAAAGTTTCCCAGCTTGGCCTAGGTTGAAGATTCCAACCTGTTCGGGCCGGGCTTGCGATAGAGGCTTGCCATCGCGCTGAAGTTATGTTCATCCGCACATTGCAGAGTTTCTTGATCCAACATCCCGAATATATATACAAAGATTGTGGACCCATCGGCGCATTGCCAGTTCTTTGCGATTGAAGGGGGGCGATTGCATAGATTTTTCCCGCACGCGCGGAAGATTGTTGCGCAGTGGCATGGGTGATTGCATACGCTTGCACAGGCTGGGAGGCACCTCGGCGAAGCGCTCTTGTGACCTAGAATTCAAAAGGCCGTTGTGGACGCAGCTTAACAAGGGCGGGCCCCCTGCTGGCCGGAAAGCCCGAATCAAGCACATCGTTTTGGCTGCCCTTTTTTTGGGAAGAGGGCAGCATGAGCAGCCGACGCATGTCCCCCAAGCTGAAAACTAAGAACCCAAATAAGTCAATCTTCATCATGGAGTCGTGAGTCTGCCCGCTGAACACCTTCATTGGCATCTTTTTGCACATGAATGTGGCGTGGTTCAGCCCGGGGAGGGCAACGTGCTCGGGAAGCTCCGTTCGGCTTCACTCTGGGCAAATTAGACGTGCTCGACTGCTCACCGATGAGCAAGGTTCCTGACTTGGATTCCTTATCAGTGTTGAGAATCACCCCCCCCTTTTGGACCTTCGCTGATGGATCGCTTTCTACCTGAGAAGTGACAAGGTGAGCCACAATCAAAACCCGGGTAGATGAAGGTTACTAAGGGACCATCCCAACCATAAATAGCTGCGGCCGCCTTCTCAGTTCTTTGCATGGTGCTGGGTGCACCATTTTTGTACCGGGTTTTGAGCAAGTGACTGGTGGCTGACATCGATTCGGGAAATTCGGAACCGCTGGCGGTGCGTGACCAGCAGATTTCAATGGGGTCCCTCGTTTGATCGCCGTGCCATATGGGGCTCCACGTGCTGCTAGGAGCTTGAAAGCGTACCATATGGGTGTGTGAGTGTGAGTGTGTGTTTGTTTTTGAAGGTACTGTACGAGTACCCTTTCAGGGTGGTTTCAAGGGGGACGAAAAGGATCCCACCACTTTTGTGGTTTTTTTTTGTTGGTTCTCCCTATTTCGACACATGCGCATGCATAGTGTTGCAATCGGAAAAAGAAGTCCAGTAGCTTTGGACAAGGCTCGTGTCTCACAAGGCGCATGTGCAGGAGATGTTGCTTGGCCTGTTGCCCTGTACATCCTGTGCCGGAGAAGCAATCTGTCGTATGGATTGGGGGCGGGCAAAAAGGTGGGTCTCAAAATGGTGGACTTGCTTTTCCTTGTTGGTTCTTGACACCAAGCCCAAGCAGACTACTGTTCTAGGAGTTGATTCCCCGTTTTCCCGATCGGGTTTCCGGAGGATTTGTAGAAAGATTCGGATCCCTGGGTTCAGAATGGAAATGGAAGGTACCCCTAGAACCCTACCCAAAAAAAAAAACAAATTGGGGCATAACGAGGCTCTTGCAAGGCGCCATCTCCGAGAATTGGGATTTGCATATTTCGCAGGCCACTGTGGCCAGCTTCGTGTTCCTGCGGCTGGGCGTGCAATCAGGTCATCCCTTGGTGGTTTGGAGTGGTTTGGAGTGGTTGGATTGGGATTTGAACCCTTGTCTTTTACCCTTTCACCAAGCCACCGGGTTCCAAGCCACCAGTTAGAGGCAAGCTGAAATGGGATGTTTTTCAGTTCGGTTTGATGCGGTCTCAAGGGTTTTTGGGTTCGGTTCATTTTTGGGAGGGGGATGCAAAAAAGCACAAGTTATGGTCTACCATACCAACGCCAGAGGCCTTTTCCCTCAGATCTTCCAAGCCCTCCCCCCAAAAACAACAACCGGTAGAGGAACCGCCTTTTGAGAGACCTGTTTTGTGGGTTCCTTTCCTTTTGCAGGACTGGTTCATGGGCGGCCGAACGCGAGAAGGTGGTGCCCTTTTCCCCCCCGCCCCCAGGTTTCTCCTCCCTGAGCGAGCGGCTTGCCTTCTTTACTAGGTCGACTTGATACAAATTCGAGACTTGGTTTGGATCCAGACTTTTCGGCCCTCAAGCGTGATTGGCAGGACTTAGACCTGGTTCTCCCGGTGCAGCCTTTGGGGGGGGCCACCCTGGAGTTGTTCTAAGAGGTCTTCTGTGATACCGAATGCCTTGTTTGTTTCATTGTAAGACATCTTTAGGGGTGGTCAACCTTTGAACAGGTGTTTTAGACAACCTATGTTGTAGGTAAAGCGGAGGGACCCTCCAAAATTGTTATGTGGGCTGCTTAATGCATGAGTTACATGTGGTAGGACCTATGGAGAATCGGCCACATTGGAGGTGTGGTTTCCATCTCTAAATCAAGTTCACCCCCAAGCAAGAAGGCAATCACACAGGTTCCCATTACTCAAATCGGGAAGTCAAAGGAGCTTTGGGCTCGGGATGGCTCTTAAGCTTTGAACGAGGGGCGATTTTGACAACCTCACTGACCTCACTCCCCAAGTTTCTGGACTGCAGGTGTCATGGGGTTGGGAGTCTGATCTCCCTTTTTGGTTTAAAAGCTTCCATTTGCTTAAGCATATTTTAAATGTTCCCTTGTTGGTTGTAAACGGAATTTATAACTACTGTTGTTTTTTCTCCTCGGTCTTAACCAAATGGAAGAAAGGACATCTATCACTACTGAGCATACTTGATTTTTTTCCAGGTCGAAAACACACATATGAAAGACCGGTAAGGAGGTCCTGGGAGACTTTGGGGTTCAGCTTGATTTTCTTTTGCTCGGCTCAGGCTGACACCAAGAGGAATTGTCAATTCCGCTATTTGGGGGCCTAGGTTGTGACACATGCCCATTGCCACAGCGTGACTCGCCTTTCGTGCAAGAGTGGACCAAGAGCTGCTTGCTGAAGATAGACCTGCTGAAGATGGACCCTGAAGACCCCTGCAACACCTAAGGCCGTAAATCGCCTCAGTTCCGCCCACAGCTTACGACCCCCCCCAAGAATGGCGAGTTGCTTTTTCCTTTATATATATATATATATTTGTTGGGGGGTGTTTTGTTGGAACATTGTGTGTGTGTGTCATTTTTAAAGGTACTCGTTTGGGGGTTGGTAGGGAGAAACGCCGGGACGAGGTCGAGCTCCCTGGCAATGATCCAATACTTTCTCATGGGCCAGCCGCTGGGTTGCGAGAGCGCAGAGAGTTTTTCGGCGGGTTGGTGGGTTAGCCCCGCAAAGACCTTGCTCCAAAGCCTCAGGTTCATGGTTGTTGTTGGGATTTACATGTTTCCCGTATTTTTTTCGCTTATGGTGGTTTAGTGGTTGAAATCCTAATCCAACCACCTAGCTGCTAAAAAATGGAATTGTTGCTCCCCTTCCAACGTCAACCAAGGGTTCTTCCTGGACCTGACATAGAGACCCAGCGAAGAGTGGACTTGTTTGACGGTGGAAAGGGAACATATGGGGTTTATTGTTGGGATGCCACTACACCTCGACAACTCCAGACCTTTTGCTCAGGTGGCGCTTGCCACCCGCTATGTAAGGAACTCGCTTGTTGTTGTACAGGAACCATGATTGTGCTTTACCCATTGGTCAAAAGACGCCTGTTATGGGGAAACGGGGGAAGGGGCGGGGTGTGGAAAGCAATACATCCTTTGGGAGTGTTAAAACATTGGGACACCCTCTTTTTGAACGGTGCTCCAGGGGAAGCCAACAGGACCCATGTCGTTGTTGGGACCTCGGGAAAAGACATACCTGTATTCTCATATCCCTCAGAACCCGCCCTCGCTCCAATGATTCTCGTGTTTTTTTTGGGGAGCAAACAATGTGACCACAAGGCCATCGCAAAGGGGGGAGCCATCGACATTGAAATCAGTGCACTGATTGCGCAACTCCCCAAAATGGACAGTGAAAGAAGACACCCATTTGTATCCAACGAAATGCGTCCCAAACATGTCTAAAGCCCAGTTTCAAGGCAAATGTTAAATGGATCTGTGGGCCTGTTTCCGACTTTGAACTCGTTCCCCGCAAAAATATTGAAACTTGTGGAACTCAACGGGAATCTTCTGGATTCCAACTTCTGGATTTCAACTTGTAGAAACTCAGCTCATAAGTCATTGGACATGACCCAATACGCTTGAAACCAAGAATGGAAGTGGAAAATCGGGGGCGTTGGACCCAAAAGGAAAGCAAGTCTTAAGCCCGCGGATTGTCCTGTGGTTGATCGCTCGGGGTTTATCCAACCACTGTGAGACTTTTGGGAATCTCCCCCTAAAAGTAGCCGGGGTGGGGAGGAAATGTCTTTGCGGTTGGGCCCTTTCTGCTGTATCGCACATTCGTGGATTCCATTTCCCACAGCCCTGATGCGAAACCTCGAGGATTGTTTGGCACTACGCCTTGTGGTACGGCATGGTCAGCGTGGGAGCGACTTACCTGGGGCAGACCGCCTGCGAGGCGGCCCTGAGTTTGACTGGGGGGGATGTCATTATTTGGGGTATCTTTTGGGCGTTGGCTTAAAGAGAACAAGAGGAAAACCCGGTATCCTTCAGGGTCGCCTATGGCGCATACCCGAGTTTGTGGACACCAGGGTTTGCAACAGTACACCAGGGTTTGCCCTCTTCAGGGAAACCAAAAGCAGGCTGTGTTCGGCAGTTTCACGCTAGTTTCACCCGTAGTTTCTCAGCGCTCCAGCTTTCCGCAAGATTTCCCTGCACAGCAGTGAATGAAGCTGTTCGACTGTTTTAGAAAGTTTTGTTTTGGCAATTCGCTGCATGCCCCAGGTCAGGAGCCTTGAGTTGCATAAAAACAGAAGAACAAAAAAGAAAAAACGCTCACGCAAAGAGAGGTCGGTCAATTCAATTCACAGGTCAACCAAAACCATTCTTTGTGGTTAAGGACGATGCCTCGCAGGGGAAGGTTTGGAAAGTTTGTTTCCGGCTCCTGGCGAGTTAGAAAAGTGATCAAGACCCTTGAGATCGGAGCGTATGTTTGGTTGCCCCATTTAGCAAGCGGACACACATGCCAGTGTCCTTTGCAACGGTTCTCCTGCGCCTTTTTAATCATAATAATCATAAGGTAAGCAAGAGGGGTTTTGTTTTCAGGTTGCTGTCCTGCTTGGGGCAAGACCAACAAGTGGCAGCTTTGCTTCTTTGTCGCTGGGTTCGGGGACTCTAGTCCCTTGGGAAGGCCGTTTGGCGGTAAACTAAAAGGAACCGTTTTTTTCCGGCCAATCCACTAGGAGGAGCTGGCTTTGCGCACAAAGGCACCCTCCAAACGGGTCAAATCTTCGAAAACATCCGCCAATGAACATGGAGCCTGATGTTCAGTCCAAACCAGAACTCCCCTGGGTTCCATGTGACAAGGGCGGGTGGGTACCATGGATTGTGCGGGATGTGTCTCTTTGGATCTGACAAGATCCCGTGAACACGGTCTTCAGGCGGCCTAGTCATACCCCAAAGACACCCCCGAAGCTGAACAGGAGCATGGGGTTTGCAAGGAATCTCTGGAAAGGGGCGGCTTTGTTTTGAAGGGCTTTGAGTGTTTCGTTTTTGTTTTTTCTCGGGGGGAGGGAGAGAAGAAACAACATGTAAAAAGGAATCCCCTAGGTTCGTCTAGCCCCCACGGCGTATGCTTTCTTTCCGGGATAGTTGACTTATTGAATTAGAGCCCGACGAGGATGGTGTTGTCTTTCAGTTTTGCAAGTGAACTGGTTTCAGGGATAGTTACATTTTTGGGGTTGTTTCAAAGGGAAACCTCTGGGACAACCCTCATTTTGGGGGTCCAAATCCTTTTTTGAGACATGTCACTTCTACTTGCAGTTGTTTTATTCACCATATCATTGCCAGAACTGCTTTCAAAACGGGCCATAACCCCTTCTGGCTCTGAGCACAATTTGGACACTAACGTAGCGCCTGGTGTGTGCCTGATAGCTTGCACTCGGGGAGCCGCCGCACCAATATTGGGCTTGGTGTTTCATATCGACGTCCGAGCTGGGCTTTTCGAGATTGAGTTCCTGGAAGTCTTTTGTCAAATTCCAAGTCCTTAGTTCCCCCAAAGTAGACTTGCTCTCGAAGCCAGATTTTCCAGGATCCCGGTTCAACGGCTTGCGCCAAACAATAGTTGTTGTTTTTTTGTGGCATCCGACCTATGTTGTTAAGCACCCACGTCCCAAGTGCTTTCCAGCTGCCGCCAGGTCTTTATCCGCAAGCGCCGGCGCTACTCCTTTATCACGCTTCTTGGAGAAAGCTGGATCTCTTCTTGAAGAGGGTTGGGCAACATCGTCTGAAGAAGGAGTTGTTCAACCGAAAGGAGTCGTTGTTTAGACACCGTGTTTGTTTGGACAGGGGTGTGTTTGTTTGGTGTGTGTGTGTGTGTTTGTTTTCTTCAAGCTTTGATTGATTGCTTGCTTGCTTGCGTGCGTGCGTGCTTGCTTGCTTGCTTGCTTGCTTGCTTGTTTGTGCGTTCTATTTTGGGTTCCCCTTAAAACAACACCGAAAGCGGTCCACCATTTCGAGAAGCCCCGTGTTTCTGTCAGTGAGTTTGGGTTATGGGGTTTTAGCTTTTTGGGGTTCCCAGCCATCCCCGTAGGGTTTTAGCTGTTTAGTTGGTTTATATAGCGGTCGTTTCCACTCACCCACCAAAAGTGTAGGACTTCTATCAGGGGATCCCAGATTTCTATGTCTGCGATTCTCAAGAGGGAACCACCTCACAACTAGTTGGCGGACATGAGCCCTACCATTGAAATTTACAGCCATGCGCATGTGATTTTTTGTGGTTACCCTTTTTAAGGCTAGTGAACCCGCAAGTATCATCGCCATGGTTTGGGGTTCCCTGTTTGACACCCACAACCACACGCACAGACAGACACACCCATATACGCCCAACGACCCCCATGAGAGTAAGTGATTGCTAGAACCATTGATTGAACTGGCCAAGCTGGTGTTTTGAGGGATGCTCATTTGGGCGCGACTAGCTTCGTGGAACCAGGCCCCGTGTATCGGGACCCCCCGTAAAACGATGTCCGCTTTCTGCCCGCAGAGGTTGCAGGTTGCATGTGATACAAGTCTCCGGATCAGTCCGAAGGACCTTGCTACTCAGTGATGGTTTGCTTTAGCTTTTGGAAACTATCTACCTTTGGGGGTTCCTCTGACTAGACGTTCTCTCCTTGAATTGGAGCAAGAGGGTTTTTTTCTGAACGGTCACGGTTGCAACCGACACTGACTGCTTTGTGCATACGGGTTTGGGAAACGGGCGGCTCGACTTCTTGACCCCCAACAAGGGGGGTTTCAAACGGAAACCAAGCGGCAATCGAACTCCATGTTTGGGGTATTTCGAAAAAAGAGACACCCCAGTGGGAAACCTGTCAACCAGCAAAACCGGAAACTCCTAAATTCGAGCTCCCTTTTCCTTGCTGGTGCTCAGTAGGGAATGAGAAATGGATTGAACCCAGCATTCCCTTTTTTTGGGAGAGTGGGATTTCCGGGACTTTAAGTTTTCTACCAAGCAGTTCTTCAATGAAAGCCCAACCTTCCAAAAAATAACTTTCTGTTTTTCTGGGGGGGGGTTCCCTGGAAGACCCCTGGGTAAACGGCCGGAAAACGGTCCCTTTCCCGGGGTGTTCCCTTTTGGAAAACCCCTGGGTAAACGAACTGGCCGATGCCCGATGCCCGATGCCGATGTTCCGTTTTTCGGAGGCTCTCGGTGGCCTCGGTGCTGCTGCTGTCGCTCTTCTGCCTCTGCGTGGTGGGCACCAAAACCGCCGGACCCCAAGCGTCGAGGACCAAATTTCTCGGGGCATGCCCCGGGGCGAGAGGCGAGCCCTTCACGCGGCCATTGGCTGAAAGGAAAAACTGGTGCGTGGACTTTTTATTTGCGGAGTTTAAGGGAATTTGCTGAAGTGAAGATTTTCCGGAAATAGCTTTCCCCTGGCTTTTAAGGGGAATCCAGCACTGGAAATACATATTCTTATTCCAGCGCGCTCAAGGAGCCTCCAGCAGGCGTCATGGGTTTGGGACCCGGCACCCAATGGCCAATACGTGTGATTTCTACTGTCTGGTGTCAAAAGGGAATCTATGACTACTGGACAGACCTGTTTCTTTTTTGTTTTTCGCCCGGGGGGGCGAAAACGCAAATGGAAGTTCAGGGACCCAATCCCATGTTTTTTTGGGCATCTTGGGCAACGAGCTTCGGGATACCCACCTATAAGTTGTGTGATGTCCCTTTTTATGGTGGATATGTGTTTTTGGGATGTGTCTTGCCTTGAAGCAATATTTCTGTGTCTTGGGGGACCCGCAAAATGTGTTTGTTTCGTGTGGTTTCCGAGACTCACTCAAATAAAGACGCACTCATATAAGCCCATATGGTGTTTGCGAATCGCCAAACAACATAACTTTGAAATTTGCCAACCGTTGTTTGAGTCAACTCCCCAACCATCATGTTTTTTGTTCAAAACAACGTTGTTTGGGGGAAAGCGACTCCTTTTGGTTTCGTAGGGTTGCTTGGAACTGTGCGACCAATCCAAGAACTGGGGGGGGTCCTTCAATTCTCGTGCATATTGTAGGCTACTCTCAATGGGTATGCGTCAAAATGAGCGACCCCTCCGGGCGCTTGGTTTCTTTTTGACTTCACCTTTTTCACTATCCCAAACATCAGGTGTGGGCCAAGGCTACACAATTCAGGCAACTTATTGGTGGTTTGGATCGGGTTTGAACCCCTGGTTCTTGTAGAGTCTTGTAGAGACATAGATGGCACTGGTTTAGATTGGTTTATTGCATTTGCCAGATTATTTTTCTTCCAACAGGTCACCTATGACTATCCTAATTTTAACAATTGTTTGCTCATCGGAGCAACCCTGTTCACGCAATCCCATCAAGGATAGTATATGGATCGCTTACCTTCTTCACTGTTCGCCCTTTTGGTTTTGCATCACTGTGCAGTTTCAACCAACAAAAGGCGTGATTTTGTCGAAACCGTGTCTATGCCTTCTGTTTGGAGCCATGAGAAAGTGTTTTCTATCACTCCCCTACACAAATTCAAGCCGCTCGCCGCCGAGGTGGTGCACGACTACGAGATGGGCAAGCCGCTGGGGTTTGCCTTCACGCGGCTTTGCAGCTTGAAGCATAAGCTGTTGGAAGGCGGCTGCGCCGCCTTGGGTTTCCCTTCAAACCAAGCCACCCAAAAAGATATCAATAAGACACGCCCGCGTTTCCCTTTGCGGATTTGAACATCCGCTTGGCGAATCTTTAGGGTGAGTTTCTCTTGGGCGTGATGTGAACGGAGGAAGCTCGGAATCTGAGTTACCATTGTGAAATGTTGCTTGTGGCGTCCCTTACCTACTACGCCACCGGAAGCACTGGGAACCATTCCAACGGTTGGTTGCAGATTCTGTTCATCCATCGTTTGGTTGAAAAAGTATCATACATGTCGGAAAAAAGGGTTTTTTACAGGACACATGCCGGCCAAATCAAATGTTGCAAAGGGTTTTTTGCACCTGGAGCTTTTAGCATCCTTCTACCGGGATCCTGTAGCACGCAGCCATGTACGCGGCCGTCGTGATGCAAACCATGGTCAGCATGGTCAGCATGGTGGAGAAGCAGAGATGGTCTACGGCATTCTTCAGAAACAATTTGGGGCAAGCTCTGGCCACTCTGGGGGTTCTACTGGCCATTGGCATGTCCACCTTGACTGCGCCCTCTTTGACCAAAACGGCCTTGCCACGCGATGCATCGCAGTGCCTGCCTTTTCGCAGTCTTGAACTAACCACAAACTGCCCAGAAGAGGATGGCTGGGTAGCGCACCTTCTTGCACATGACACCCGCCCTGTGGATGCACAGACCGTTTTTCTGGATGTGGGCTGCAACACAGGCGCGGACGCGGTGAAGTACCTGGACCTTTGGGGTCGCAGTCCCGGCATCTTTCAGGCCTGGCATGAAGGTCTCAAGGAGGAGGGGGCTATCCGGGCCGGAAGCTGCCAGAATCACCAGAGCGAGTGGCCCCAACGCACTGCCAGCTCTTTCACCGATCCGAGCGTCATTTGCGTCGAGCCCATGTCTGCCAACGTGGAGGTCATGCGCACCTTGCACCGCAGAGTCCTGAACAGCAGCGGCGCGTTCGAAATCGTCCACGCCGCGGTGTCGGACCATGTTGGTGTGGCTGACTTCCCCTCCGGTCAAGTGGGCACAGAAGACTTCGGACTGGATGTTGCCTCGCCGGTTGATCCAGCTGGGAACGCTCGCCAAATCCACACCGTGGAGGTCAACGTGACGTCTGCAGACCGGCATGATTTAGAAAGCATGTCACGCGCGTTTCTCTTGTGTCTGCCTGCAGCTTGTACTTTGCTCCCACTAGGCGTTCCTACGATGTTGGCCCCCCATTTTTCAACCCCAACCTCGGTGTGTTTCTAGGGGGGCGCTTGGCAGGTCGACACACTGATGGCTTCTCGCGGCCTGTCGCGGGTGGATGTGATGTCCGTGGACACAGAGGGCCATGATCCTATGGTGCTGGCCGGCGCTGCCCAGGCGTTGAAGACTCTACGGCTGCTGTTCTTTGAGGTGCATCAGGACCTCACCGCTTCACCCTGGAGCCGAACCTCTCTCCTGGCAGTCGCTGAGACCTTGGACCACTACGACCTCGACTGCTTCTGGGCTGGCAACAACGGGAAGCTTCAGAAGATCACGGGCTGCTGGACTGTGCAGGATGAGAGCACGCACAGCCCGATCCCATGGGCGAACATCCTGTGCGTCAGGAGGGGTGATGAGTGGCACGGAGCTCTGCAGAAGTACGTCGGAGCAATTGCCTAGGCCCTCTAGCCCGCTGGCGACCAGGAGCTTGCGCGAAGAAAACGCGCTGAAATTAAGGACTGTCCGGACAGAGGCAGTGTTGCATGTTTGCACACGTCGCAGGCATCGAGATCGGTTCTTCGACTTAGCCTGCTGACGACAATCTTGTGACTCTTTGGAGCTTTCCGGAACGACCGGAGTACTCTCCCAATCCTCTCTGTATAGCACATTGTCACAGAGGATGGCTTGAGTGCTATCATCGCTGCAGTGGATTCTTCACATGGTGAAAACCATTGCAGTCAGAGCAACCTTGAGATTCGAGCCAGCGAGACCGTGCGCCGGCAAAGAAAATGACATTGCATAGCAGAGGTTGGGAAGATGGGATTCTTGGCTCCGGTAATAGTGTTGACCCCATACACCCGGGTTTCGTCTTTTTTTTGGTTTCCGGTCCGGCAGAGCCAATAACCACGGGCTCCATTTGTTGGATTACCCCAAAGCGCAATGCATGACTTTTGGATTGGAATGTCCACGACCCACAGCAGAATTATGTTTTTGCGCATGCAAAACTGGAAGTGAGTGTGTCAACGTGTTTAGTTCTAGACCCACCATGCGCATGAGATCCATGGATCTTAGGCGACAGCGGGCGGGGCTCCATCATCAGACCCAACGTGGCAATGGGCACCTCGGCCGCACGGATCAAGTTCGCGGGGGGATGCTTCTAGCCACTTGCCAAGTTGGAATCCCGCGTGCAAAATGTTTGGTGCTTCCCAGCGAATCGTCCGATTCCTTAGCCTTTAGACTTTTAGTTGGTTTAGTGGGGGGTTCCGAATTTAACCCACTAAAAGTGAAACTTTTAGCAGGGGATCTGAGGACAGCCCAGGTTATCCAAGCCTCCCATTCGAGGATTGCAACAATGGCACTTTTGCGGGCACGGTGAATTCGCCGGCAAGTTTGTGATTCGTTGGGTAAGAACTCTGGTGCAACACAACCCCACACTTTGAGAAAGCTACAGACCCTATACAATGGCCAACCCGGCCCTTTTTTGCTCTCATGCGTTTCGCTGAACCCTGGTTTTGCATGAGACCCATAGAATCACCCACTCACCCACCTTTCACTGATCAACCCTGGTTTTGCATGAGACAAATGGCATAGAATCACCCACTCACCCACCTTTCGCTGATCAACCCTGGTTTTGCATGAGACCCATAGAATCACCCACTCACCCACCTTTCGCTGATCAACCCTGGTTTTGCATGAGACCCATAGAATCACCCACTCACCCACCTTTCGCTGATCAACCCTGGTTTTGCATGAGACCTATAGAATCACCCACTCACCCACCTTTCGCTGATCAACCCTGGTTTTGCATGAGACCCATAGAATCACCCACTCACCCACCTTTCGCTGATCAACCCTGGCTTTGCATGAGACCCATAGAATCACCCACTCACCCACCTTTCGCTGATCAGCCCTGGTTTTGCATGAGACCCACCTTTCGCTGATCAACCCTGGTGTTGCATGAGACAAATGGCATAGAATCACCCACTCACCCACCTTTCGCTGATCAACCCTGGTTTTGCATGAGACCCATAGAATCACCCACTCACCCACCTTTCGCTGATCAACCCTGGTTTTGCATGAGACAAATGGCATAGAATCACCCACTCACCCACCTTTCGCTGATCAACCCTGGTTTTGCATGAGACCCATAGAATCACCCACTCACCCACCTTTCGCTGATCAACCCTGGTTTTGCATGAGACCCATAGAATCACCCACTCACCCACCTTTCGCTGATCAACCCTGGTTTTGCATGAGTCCCATAGAATCACCCACTCACCCACCTTTCGCTGATCAACCCTGGTTTTGCACGAGACCCATAGAATCACCCACTCACCCACCTGTCGACAAGGTTGCTTCCTGTGCTCTTGGAACATGGGCACCCTTCAAGCAATCTGGGGCTCAATGGCTCTCAGGCGAAGATGTGCATCCCTTGCCCCCATAGGCTTGGACACTCCTAAGCCAAAAGGCGCAGCCGTTTGGTTGATTGACCCCATGGAGTTCGGTGTTCCGGTTGGTTCCCTGAAACAAAAAAGAGAGTAACATAATCCAAAAGAGGGTTCCGACCCCCCCCCCATCCCCCTCCTCCAAACAAAAGAAGCAAGAAGAATAAAAGAGACTTAAACGCCCAAAGAAGCAAAATACTTACACGAGACGTAACCGCCCGTCTGGTTTTGGGTAGCCCACTCTGCCAGGTTTTGGTTGTGTCGGCCTTTTGCTCCGCTTTCAGGAGATGGCGTCGCCATGCTGCGGAAGGGCCCCTGATTCCGCCCACGCGCGACTTGCGAAGCGGAAAAACGTGGGTGTCTTTAGATGTTTTCCTGGATTCGCATGGGAAAACATGGGAGAACATGTGTTTTTGTTGATTTCCTTCAAAAACCACAACAATGGGGTGCTGTAGCCTCCACAAAATAGGTTTGTGTTTTTTTTTTGGGGGGGGGACCCTCCAAAATTGGCTTAGGTGATCCTTTTGATTTTGGTTTCCCCATAGCTTAATAACCAAGCATGGGGTACCCTAAAACAGACTGACCCATATAGACCTGCAAAAGGGTGGGTTTCTTCTTTAGTGCCCATTTATCTCAAACCACCCCAAAAGGAGTACAGAGACCTCAAAAAGGACGGCATCATCGAGGAAGAGGCGAAGGACTTCAGGTTCTTCTTAGAACTTTCTCCCCGAGTTCCCGGAGCTACTTTTCGGGAAGACCATTGGCAAACAGTTTCAGCGCTTGGACTCGAACCGTGAGGCACAGGATATAATGACCCTCCCAATCAACATGGAACCTGACCTTTGGGTTTCGGGGGTGTCCTGGTATACAACCATTTTCCTTTTAAAGGGACCCGCTGTCAGGTTCCATGTGAAAAGGGTGGTAGTTTGTTGAGCCCCACAGGCCTCCCTAAGGCCCTGCCCACACCAAGACGCGTGCTATCGCTTTTGATTTGGCCAGGTGGGCGTGCCTTTTTTTTTGAGGGTACCCTTCTTGGCGTTGTGCTAAAAAAAAAAACGGGGAGTCCCCATAATATGAACTCCAGCCAATTCCATGTTTTTTTTGCAGGAGTTCCGTCCGGTACTCGGTGATGCAACGCGGTCTCCTTTGCAGGGGTCCTTTTGTCCATTGTTTGCTTGGCCATCTTTCATCGCGCCGCAAATGATGATTGTTTTTCTTCAGTTGCCAAGGAAACTCAACAAAACGAGCAAGTTGTAGATCTCACAAGCGCCCTGTTAAACAGGCTGACGAATGCAAGCTTGCGCATGGAGGACGGGGTTGGGGGCCTCTAGGTCACAAAGCAACCCAACACTTCACTTGACTGTTCTCCAAAACGATTTGATGCGGGGTAGACAAAATATGAAGCAGAATGAGACAATCCAAGTCTTTACCCCAGAAATGGGTCAAGTTGCGTTGTTTCTTGTTGGGGTTCGGCACCCCTCCCCATGTGTGTTTCGCTGCCGCCGGCTCAAAGTGCAAGGCTTGAGCCGGCACCAAGCATCGACCTTTGAACCCCGACTGGTGCTCCCAATATACTGCTGGGCAATGTCTAAGCGAAGCCGCTAAGGAGATTGCGACGTCAAGGTGTCAGGTACCCTAAAGTCAAGAGTTTAGAGGAGTTGAAGCCGTGCTTCTTGCAGAGGGAATGTGGGAAACCACCTCTAACCAAGTCACTCCCGAGTAGAGGGAAACTGAAACGTGAAGGTTGGTTTCTGGTGATTGATTCCCCAGCTGAAAGCCATGGGGTTGAAAGCCCTAGATATGCAAAAAGGGCTCCGTTTGTGTGGTTTGGGTGGCAGTTTTTAGGGAGGGTTCCGCGCGGTAGGGCGTTCCACCACCTGGCAAGGGTGCTCTTAGCCGCAGAGGCATTTTACCCTAGCCATTTAGCCATAGGAAGAGGGCAGCCTCACACAGTCCGACTCTTGCACGTAGAAAGACACCAAGAAGAGTACTCTGATATTTGTGTTTTGTTATTCCACAACAAAACCCACATAGCTTCTGAAGTTGTACTCTGACATGTTTTTGTTGTGAGTCTTTTTTAGACACCCGTGTAGCTTCTGAGTGCAAACACAAGGAGGTCAAATTGGTTTCCCACAAAATCTCAGGACTCGCAAATGGTGTTTGTTCAAACTCGGTTTTTACAATTTCTCCCATAGAAACCTAAAGGGGATAAGCTTCAATTTGTCCAAAAGTTTTCGAGTGGAACCCACAAATGGTGTGGCTTCCCTTCAATTGAACTTGTTGGTTAGCTCACTTGTGCAAAGCCGAGCTGTTGACCTTGTGGTTTTTCTGGTTCGGCAACCATTTTTGGTCGAGATCCCAACAGGTGATCACCTTGTATTTCTGGGTCCAAACTGGGCAACCGAGAAAACCCAGCCCTAAACTTAGCACGTTTGATACCTAAATATGAATAATAGGGGTGTTTGTCGTTTTGTCCGTACCTGACAACAAAAAGCGTAAACAATCACGCAAATCATATATTTCTACCTAAATATGTCTACTAGGGCCCCCAGTAGTTCCCTTTTGCCCTTTTTTGGGGGGAGGGTTCCCCTACTAAAATAGACTACAGAAAAAAAAAAAACAAGGGTACCTTTATTCTAATGGAGGACCTAGGTCTACCTGGGTTTGCCTGGGATCCACTTAAAGTTCAGCGCCCCAGTTTTTTCCAAGTCCAGGCCAGCCGAGTTTGATCCCAGCGCCATGTCTTCGCCATGAGATGGGCTGCTCACCATGCAGCTCGGAGGGAGGACCAAAGGAAGACGGTCCAACCCTGTCAGGTCCAAATGGGTGGGAGGGTTCATCCAAAATATCGGCCATTTGGAGGTCAAACATCACCTTCGGTCAACATGAAGCGAACCTTCTCTTGGCGGGGTGATGTTTAAAGGGGGGACCCTGTCTTGCCCAATCTCCAGTGCCCTTGTTTTTGTTGTTTTGCTTAAAAAGCGAAAATCAATAAATTACACACAAACTGTTTGTTTGTTCTTTTATTTCTTTCTTTTTTGCGGAGCGGGCTTTACCCGTTGCAATGAACCACCAAAACGGTGTCCCTTGTCTTCCCGTCACCGCGTGGTTGGGATTTTCTTCCGGGAAACCGCCAGGACACCCAGCCTGTTGGACCCCTCGAATTTCGAAACACCCATTTGTTTCTGAAATATTCCTTTTGGTTAATATTAAAAGTATGTTGTATTTCCCCCTGTGGCTTTAAAGGTGCGTTTTGCTTAGATGTTAGGACTTTAACTTTTGCCAACTAATGGGTTTTCCATTAAACCACTAAAAGTTAAACTTTTAGCAGGGGAGCAGAAAGCAACCAAGTATATGTGCTTCTTGTTTTCCAGGGTTCTTAAGCAAATGGCGGAAATTGAACGTGAGTTAGTTATAGCGAACTCACCTGCAGCTGAAACAAGCTCACCCGAAGCTGAACTGAGCAACGAAGGTGCCATTTCGGGCTTTCAAGATATAGTACAGTGATGGCGAGTACTCTAAGTGGGACCCAAAACACGGACGGAAGGATTGCTCCTCGTTTTGTTGACGCGGCGTGCTTTAGCACTTCGAGACATGACATACAAGGGTATGGGTTTGTACCGGGCCAATATGTCTCATTTTTCAAGGAACGCTGTCTCCAAGCCTGCCTTCTTGATCTTGGTTCTTGTTGTGCATGTAATGAGTTGTGTGTATTTGTTGGTTATGTGTGTTCTAACATGCCAAGGGTTGGGACGCGTCAATCTCCAAAACATGGGAGTTGATGTAGACACCTCGAGCCTGCCTTATCAAGGAAGCTCCCGACATGTGGAGGGTCAAGATGGTGAACCTTGCTGATCAGCCAGTCATGACTGATCTTCGATGGATCTGAATAGCCTATCTGTCTGTTATCATATTGGGTTTCCATTGTTTGCCTTCAGAAGGTTGGATTGAGAGTACCACGGTTCTCCCAAATGATACATTCAAACATTGCCTGATATGGCACCAGGTGACATTCACAGGCTACCAATATGGGATTGCCTCGCTCAAAATTGGTGGTTTCCCTTCTGTTCCCTTTAACACCACCCCAAGCAGCCTCAAGATCACACAGCCCTATACGATTTAGGCATATCATGGTTTTGCCGCTTTGCCCATTCCAAGTTTGGGCTAAGACTCAGCCCCGAGCTAAGCGCCGCTAATGTGTTCAGAAATGAGAGGCTAAGCGACTTCTTGGGGGGCAGGCAGTTGTGTTTGCATAGGGAGAACCAAGTGTGTAGTGGTCTTCTCACCAGGTGTTTGTTGAAACCAACGCAGCATCATTTGGGTATGGGTCAAAAACTTAATCCACCAGAAAAAAAAAAAAAAAAAAACGCAGGTTTTGGACCCAGAGTTTCCATTTTACCAGAGTCACCCATTCTTGGTCCTTGTTTTGTTACCTACACCCACTTGTAGAGGCCTCTTCCGAGGAACCCTCTGTTTGCTCCCGAGACGGCCTCGAACCGCCCAGAATGCCCCAAACTTAGCCATCAACTACCCAGAATGCCCCTCAAACAACCCTGAAACTACCCATAAATCCCAGGTGAATTTCCTTTCGTTCAGGTAGACTTTCAGGTCCAGAGAACCCGTTTTGGAGGCGGACGTGTTTGTTGTTGCTAGGAGTGGCTCGCAGCTTAGCCAAAAAACCGTCGTACAGAGAACCCGTTTTTGCCCAAGAGGCCTCCGGAATGGAATTGGGCGCCGGAATCCAGTTGACAGAGAAAGTGCGGGGGGGGGGAGGGATTGCAGGAAACTGGCGCGAAGAGGTAAACGGACAGCCCGCGTCATGCTATTTTCCCCCTTGGACCCACCAACTTTTTTTCTGCCGCCCTCGGCTTTTAGTGTGGCCCCGCGTGTTTTTTTTGTTTTCCCGCTCGGAGCGCTGGCGGGGTTTGCCGAAGAAACAACTCGGAGCCGCGGGGCCCAGGCCAAGGATTGGGCTGCGCGGAGTTTTTCCGGCCGACGGCCGGGCGGCGGAGCAGCATCGCGGCGCCTTGGAGAGGGCCGGTCGGGGCCAGAGGGCCCGGGCGAGGGGCGGCGTCCATCATGTGGCCCAAAGCCGTTTCGATTCGGATCCCCTTTTGGTTGGGAGGGGTGAACTAATTCACCACCCATTTCAGGACTCCTATTTTCACTGGGGAATGACTCCTATTTTCAGGACTCCGATTTTCGTGGTTGGCTTGAATCGGCCCGGTTCACGGGGAACATTTTTGGCCCATGCCCATTCGCTTCTTGTGGCTCCCAGAAGCGGAGCCGGAAATGGAAATGGCGGAAGATTCCGTGGTGGGCTGGGCCCCAGCGCCTTTCTTTTTTCTTAATGCGAAAACGGCCAAAAGTTTGTGGTGCGCCTTTTTTGTTTGTTTGGTTTTTTTGCCGAGGCTACTATGTTGATGGGCATATGTTTGTTTGGGGCCAGGTCTGCATAGCGGACGTCGTGCTGTGAGACTCGGGTCAAAGGAATTCCAGCATGTGACAGGCCCAACCGATAAGCTAGGACTGGGGGAATCGGAATCGGAACGCCAGCTGAACCAGCCTGGTCTTATGCCTGGTGTATGCTCAAGAAGCAGGGAGTGCAGAAAAGCAACGCAGGCCATGGTTTTTGAGGCCCAGCTCTAAGACTCTAAAAGAAGTTTGAGGGGGCTTTTTTGGCCGGGCCGATTTTGCCAGTTTTCCCATGGCGATTTTGTCAAGAGTCTGGTGCTCCGAGTGACGAGACCCCGCTGAGGGGTGTCTTTGAGAGAGCGGAGGCAGTCTTGGGCAGCTGTTTGCTTGTCTTGAAGGTTCGGTTCTTACAGCCGGCCATTTGATCCAAGGTAATTATTCAACTCAGGTGATTGCAACAAAAGGGGGGGCCGCTTGCGTCGTTCAGAGGGCCCTGCATTTGTTGGTACCCTTGACCTTATGTACCGAGCGGATGATTTGTGTAAACCCTGTGGGGTTTGTCACGAGCCGAGGACACGTACCTGTGCGCCTTGGAGTGGGTTTGCTTCAAGTGTGCAGCGCTGCTTGAAAGTCTTCAGCCACCCCCAAAGCGCTACTTTTCGCTGTCCTGCCACGAGTCACCACATGACCTCCGCCAACCCCCCCAACAGAAAGAACTCGGGCCTTTTTTCCATGGAATCCACTGGGCGTCGAAGCTAACAAGGCGCGCCGCCCCGAGCAAGCGAGCTTTTTGTTTCATGCGAGTAGGCCCCGAGGGGCATCCCCTTTCCAGCCCTAGATCTGCACTGAACGGTTTGGGACACCTGGTCTTCATATGAAGGCCCATACAATAAGCTTGAGGGGAGGGGGTGCGGAGTCCCTGAAAATTTGGAGGCTGACAGGACAAACCCCTTTGAATGGCGCTGGGGCTCACTCCCTGAGTTCCTGGACTTTAGTTACTATTTCATGTTGGTGGTAAGGTCCACTCAGGTTGGGGAAAATAGATCCTTTACTTTGGGGATTCACTTCTTATCTCAACCATTGGAATTATGCTGCCATGCCCATTCCCTGATTTAAGATCTACCCACAGGGGGGGGCATTGTGATGCACCCCTAACTGGCTCCAAACAACAGCTATAGGTGGTACTGGTAGCCCAAAGCACGGGATATGGTCTCCAGATAAAATGGGGTACAACTAGGGATACAGCCAGGATAAGCGGCATTCGGTTTGGTAATGTCGACCTCGGATCAATGCCTAGCAAACATATCCGCTTCTGCGCCCCTCCCCCCCGCAAACTAAAAAAGAAACTACATATGAAAAAGTCCTCCCGGATCTAGCGTTTTAGTAGTTTAATCACGTTGGCCCCCTGTGTATTAATACGGGGCCCGGTGTCCTGGGGATTCATCACCTTTGGAGGGGATCACACCTACACTAATAAGCAGGGATTCATTTATCCGGGGTTAACATTACCAGGGTTTGGCCACCCCCTTGGTTAATCATGAACCATGATGAACCCCTATTTTGGAGCTGATGAACCCCTATTGTTGAAACAGGGGTTCTGCAAGGAAGTCTAGAAAGTGGGTTGGAGGCGCGTTTTGTGGATTTCACCTGTTCTCCCTGTAGGTTCCTTTTCAGTACTCTTTTGGTACTCTGGTATTATCCAGGGCACATAGCCGGTTTCTGGAGACACGGATGCGATTGCGTACGCCAATCCGAAGCCGTGACTGGTCGAATCCCCTCCATCCCAAGCGCTTGATCCCAAGCGGCTGGACCTTGTTTGAACAGCTGTCGACCGCATGAGTTCAGGGAAACCAACTAGGGACACAGGAACCCTAGATGCACCCCGAAATGGGTGGGTCAAAATTAAACCACCAGGGGACCACAGGTTTTAGTCCTTGGTTCCATTTACCAGGTTCCATTTTGGGTACCAATTTTTGACCCAAAGCCAAATGCACCTTGACTAAGTTTATGGGAAATGGCAGCAAGGGAATCCCCACATATCCCCGCTCCCTCCGTATCCCCGCGGAAGTTTGTTTGTCCAATGAATGAATCAGCCTGGTAGAGGAAGGGGGCGTTTCCACCAAAAGTTATCCAAATTGAATAGGACACCCTGCCATCAGAATCGATCAATTGCCATGGGTACCAAGGAAACCCCCTGCAACATGACAAAGTAATTACTCCTGGATATGCAAAATATTGGTATCACAGATCTCGGTGCTGCACAAGCCCAACCAATTGAGGGTACGTTAAACACAGTTCAGTCATGATCATAGAATCATAAAGAATAGCCTCTTCTTATAATGATATCCAGCCTGATATTTTTGAAGCCTTCAATATCCCAACCCTAAAACCCCGCCGAGGGCGGCGCGCGGCCAACCCTATGGCCGCCGCTTCACGGTACCACCAAAACAGCCACCGACACAGGCGCGGGACAGTATTTTGATTTGATTTGAATTGATTGATTGATTGATTGATTGATTGATTGATTGATTGATTGATTGATTGACTGCTTCGTTGGGGTGGGCTGGGGGGTGGCGGTTTTGGGGCTGGGGTGGCGGGGTTGGGGTGGGATTGGGTGGGGGTGGGGTGGGATTGGGGGGGGGGGGTGGGGTGGGATTGGGTGGGGGTGGGGTGGGGTGGGGTGGGGAAGAGGTGCTGCTTTCGCAGACGGCATGTCCGACAATCCATCTCTTGGAGCTTGGAATCCTCCTTGGGTTGTGTTGCTTTTGATTTTGCTTATCTCCTTCAACGTTAGGCTTCGTTGGATTAGAGATTAGTTCCCTTTATCTCCATCTCATTTTTTCCAATCTCCTGTCGTAATAATTCTGAGATTACATCATCTCTCTATTATCATTTCCTATAGACAGCATGTTATCTTACCTTCTTTCGTATCTTCCAGATCCTAAGGAAAGAAGAAGAGATGAAAAGCATGGGCGATGAGTGCAGCTGTTAGTCTTGGGAAGCCGCTGACCGGCGAAGGTAATCATATGATGGAAGATAAGGTGGGTGAATTCCTAAGTCTTTCTTATCACCCACATTCCTTTCGCATTCATCTCACCAACAGCAAGAAATGATTAGGAGGCGAGATATGCAGAGAAGAAAGATAGGAAGGACAGATGGATGAGTGGTAAGCGCTTCTCTTCTCACCGCTTTCTGTCCTCTCCCGTCACTCACCTATGAGTTCACAAGCCTTTATATTTGGCTTGTTGGTTGGGTTGGGAGGTGTATGAGTGTGTGTGTGTGTGTGTCTGTGTGTGTGTCTGTGTGGGAGAGATAAAGGATAGGGAAAGGATATGAACTACCTGCCTTTCCTCTCCATCCTTCCCACACACACACACAGCCTTGCCTCGCATGTCAGATCTTAGGCGTGGAAAGGAAGAGAAGTGAGGAATGGACAGGAATTTATGATCCCATTCCTTCTCTTTACACATCTTTACCTCTCACATGCCATTCCCAACACGCACTTCACTCCTTTGGCAAGCCTCTGACAATTTTGGGATTCTTTCCTAGGCAGAGCGACTATTCGGAGGAAGTGGGGGTAGTAACGAAGGTGGTAACTTTACCAAAGGCTGAAGGGTATCTGAGGGAGTTACTCCCGGTCGCATGTTCTCCAGGCTGGAAGAGGACTACACCCTACAGGAGGGGAGTCGTTCGTGCCAGCGATATTCAACGAGAGGGCAGGACCTTACGACCACTACAAGTTGCTGTTTTGGGATCTCGAGGAGCTTACAGATGGCTTCAAGAAAGGCCCCCCTTCCCGTGCCAATGATTCAGATCACATTTGAACCAAGGTTCAAGCAATGTTTGGAGCCCCCAGACCAGCAGTAGCGCCCGGTGTTGTTGGTTTGTTTTGTGTGTGGGGCGAAGTCCCTTTAAAATCAACCAACCAACAGCAAAGAAGGTGCCCACTTGTTTTCCCCCATGGCCACTGTGGGTTTGCGAGACTTTGGGCAAGTTTTGTTATTTGGGCGAAACCGACCGATCCACTCCATGGTGAAGGTCCTTTGTTTGATCCGTTACTTCAGCCTGCAACCACCTCACATTCACCAAGATACGGAGCAATTACCTAGCGTTGAATTGACTGGATCAAGCGCAGCTTTTCAACTTGTACGGAATGCCAAACAAAACACTGAAAAACAATTTCGAGCTGCTATGTTGGAAGTATTTGGCTCAGTCAGTTGCACATGCTTGACATCAAGCTCAGCGAGGGACTGGCACTATGCCAGGACAACCAATCGAGGTGAATGGGTGCACAAACCCCGGAAAAGAAACCGGGCGTTCCCTTCAACCCACCATGAAACCTGTCCGCCCCTTGAGTTCCATGTTGCCGGTGAGGTTCTATGGTAGTGTGCGGGAGCATATTCACTGAGTGGCGCTGAAAGCGAAACCGAAAGTTCAACTGAAGCCTTGATTCATGAACTGAAAGGACCCGCGCAAACATGGAACATGTTGACATTCCAGGTGTGGGTCTGCACAGCAGCAAAAGTGTCGCCCCTAGCTTTGTGTATTTCAGAAAAGGCAATTTAATCGCAACCTTTCAAAGGGTGTTTCTTCCGATCTAAGATCAATGTATTTATCATAGGGAGCCTGTGTTTGGCTACTGAATGCTTCTAGTTTCGCTCAGACTCATGTGTCTCTGTTTTACAGTTTGCCTGGGGAGGAACATTCTTGATGCCAAGCTATGTCTCATAATATGCATGTCCGAACCAACTGTATTGCCAAAGGTTCGATAGAAACTTGCGGGATGACAAACTGCTGTTTGCTCTATGTTCCCCCTTTTCTTTTTTGACAGTACACCTTGGTTGCCACTTCCGGGTAGTTTCCTCTGAGTGGGGGGGTGAAAGAGAGAATATGGCGAACCCTGAACTCGAATATTCTGAGCACAGTCCAACCCAGCTTCGTGATGTACACCAATCAACTCACACGCCATTGGATCCTGGACAGCGGTGCTTTCCCCGCGGTGGTTCCTCCAAACGAGCAGCGCCGCAAACCCTGGCAATACAAAGTAGTAAAAGGGGGATGTGTCCTCCTTTAGCATATGTGTTGCCCAAAGCAGACTCAAGGACCCCCTGTTTTGGTAGATGGCGCAATTCCCTTTCTGGAGGTGAACATCACGCCATGGGCGGATGTTGCCATCTTTCCCGCACCTGGACTTTTCATGACCCTCAAAAAATGGGGTGTTGACCCCTTTACTTTGGGTAACGATAACATATTTTAAGGGTCATGGAGACTCCAGGCAGCTGTAACCCTGATCACCGGGGTCAATTTCGCGACAGGATAAGATCCTGGGCTTTGGCATGTCTGGTAGCGTGCAGCTGGTCAAAAGCCCTCTGGCAAGAAGTCGGATCGTTGCATCGGATCCGCGGATTGCATGGCTCAGATATGAATACTGTGGATGGACGAAATCCATTTCGCACCACCCAAGAAACCCTGGAAGGATTCGATTCCCCTGCAAATGCCAAGAACCAATGGTTTCAACCATGGTTTCTTAGGTGGTGCGAAATGGATTTTGTCCAGCCACAGCATCACTCCTCCCGGACTTGCTATGAGCGGTCAGTTTTGTTAAAGCAGCATTTACTGGATGACATGGGTCCCACTCACCGAATTACTACTAGGAGATGGAGGTTGCTTATGTCCGTTGGGCTTGGCCAGAAAGATCGAATTTTGTGAACATGTTTTGTGTCCCCAAGCAGGTCGCCCTTTCCGGCGCGGGGCCGGCTCCGTGCAGGGGTGCGGACTTTCAAATTTTGAGGGCCGAAGACAGTCAAACCGATCTTTCGACTGGCTCCAGGTCCTCGTGCTGAGCAGTGTTTTAGAAGCTGGACTCCTGCTAGTTTGCACGTTGGATGGAGTGCCGGAGAAAAAGCTGATAAGCATTCGGAAGCCGGGCCATGTGTTCCCCTGGTTCTTGGAGGTAGACCATGGGCCATGGTCAGTACCTCAAGGAAATGGAGGGTAGTGTTCGCCCAGAGCCTGTTTATGTATATTGAGGCTGCCAAAAGGTTCGGGTTCACTGGAGGAGAACACCCCCATATGGGTGTGGCTCAAAATTTAAGAGCTAGGGGTTAGTCTTGGTTCCATTTACCTCCACTTACCTAGGGGCCATGTTGAGTACCTTTTTTTGAGCCACAGCCATATGGCTGTGGGTCAGAAATAGTTACCCAAAATGGAACCCTAGTAAGTGGAAACGAAGGGGTGCTCCCATACCCATACCCATATATTCATAGAAGGGGTGCTCCCTGGGATGTAGTTTTAGCACTGCAAAGCTCAGAAAACACTGCGAATACCATGGTTTTGTGCATGTGGCGGTGCTATTTTAATCCATATGGCAGTGGCTCAAAATTAACCAGGCGGGGCAAACCGCAGGTTTTGGTCCATATTCCCACTTACCGGTGAGCACTTGCGAAGGCGCACGCAAGCAACGGCATCTCTGGTTTTGGTATGGCTGTTTTGGCGCAAACGACAGCTGAGGGGTTTTTGTATGGCTGTTTTTTTTTTTTTTTTTGTTTTTTTTCCAGGGTCACGGTTTTCTCCAAAAAGAGAGAATGTGAGCAACTAGCTTATTTGGTTACTAGTTGGTTTGGGGAGAGGAACCAAATTAAAGATCATTAAAGTGTCCCGCAAGATTAGTCTGCACAAAAAAGTCGAGCTAACAAGGGCGCATTTCCGCACTTGCTTTGTGGTATTTGCCTTTGGCCTTGCTGCATCCGCATTGAGCGCATAGGTGTCCTTTCTGGTTGTTTTGCTAGAAACATAGATGGCCCTGGATTACCTGGTGGTTTAATCATCTACCAGGGCCATCTATTTCCCCTAAAAGGGCACCTATGGTTGAGCGTTCTTTTGCCGGAAGGTCTAGGGTTTGTTATTTGGTGAGTCACCTGTGGATCTCCCCTTGCTCTCGGTGGAATGCCGTCTTGACGCGAGAAAGCATGCTCCAGCCTCCAAAGTGTGTATATTTTTAGGGGACAACCCCCAAATGTTGGTTTTCTCCTTGGTTCGCTTTGCAACCACCAAACATAGGGTACTCTCAAAGAAGACGAGGCACCCATATGTTTTTGTGTGTGTGTTCCTCTCGGCCAAGAGCCAGCATTACTCTCATTGGGGTCCATGGCCTGCAGCAGTGCTGCAGGCACGGTGGACGGCCGGGACTATGCACTGAAAACATATGACAAGAACACGATGGACGAGCGCGTCTTGGCAACGGCTTGGATCTCTAAATGCGACGAGAACAGTTTTCTCCTTTGTGTGCGCTTGCCTACTAAAGTCGAGTCGGAAACAAAGGTTACCTCGGTTACTACTATCAGGTTGGCTGCAAGTGGGATGATTGTTGCCCAGTGGTGCCCTTTTGGGGAAAGGGTCCCCTTTAAACTCAACCAAACAAAAAGGCTGCCTTCTTTTCCCCATGGCCACTGGGTATCTGAGGATCTATTGTCAGTCGGATTTCTCAATTCCAGCAACTTATTTGCTGAGTTGGATGGTGTTTTTGTCATTTCAAGCCTGTCCAAGTTTGACCAGACTCAGCAGCTCAGACAAAGCATCTTCAGAGGAATGCCCTCTTGGATGACCCTCTTTGGAATTTCCATTTCGATTTGCGAATTTGCGGGTGAGTGGTTTTTGGTTCTTGGGTAGCGACGTAGAACTACCCTCACAGGGAACCAGCCCATGCATTCAGAGGGAAGTTGTCTCCAAGGGGCCCTTTGCCGGGCTTTTCCTAGTTTGTTGCTGTTTGGTTGGAGGTTTAGCGGTACGCAAACCTTCCAGGGCTTTGCAGGGTACAAAAAAAACATGGGGCTCGGGGATCGGGAAAGATTCAGGTAGGATAACAAGTAGCTTCAAAGGCAACCGGTCTCAAAGCCCTTCACAATGTCTTCGTGTTTCCAACCTGCCTGCTAACCCTACCGGAATCCTGACAGGGCCGCCCTAAGACCGCCTAGTGGCTTCTGTGTCCCCAGTTGAGTGGCACTTCCCTTCTTTGGGGAGGCTTCACTGTAAAATTCACCAACTAAAAATTGGCTCTCTTTTTGCCCATTTGGGCTTCTGAGTGCCCTCTTCCATTGGCTGAAAGTTTCCGGGATTGCAAGCTCAATGACTGAGCAAATGAGCATGAGTCAGTAGTCCGTATCCTTTTCGGCGGCCACCTTGAGGATGTTGGAAGGCTATACGATGTTGCTGGTATAGGGTGTTCTTATCCGTTGCTGTACAACTCACAGACAGCTGCACAGTTCTTGGCGTGTTTCCAGTTGTTTGGTTTGGCTCTTGTTCTTTTTCCCGCGTGGGGAAAGCTTTGCATTTCAAGTAACATCTGTTTTTATTCGTTTGCGAACACACCGGGGGCTGGAAGCAGAAACAAGGCATGTTTCCAAACGGTTGCGGGAGGCCGGTTGCCTGGAGAAGCCCTCAATGTTGTGGAATTTGGGTATGTGTCAAAATACGTGAATCCCCCGCGATGGTGGTTGTGCTTTTGGTTTACCTTTAAGCCAACCCAAAACGGGTACCCTCAAAAAACCACAAGCCCGCCTGTGCGTTTGTTTGTTTCGCGAGCAAGCGTTTCCGTTTGGTTTCCAGGGAATGAACAGTAACTTTTGCGTGGTTTTCCCGCACGACAAGCTTTCCCTTGGTTTCCCGTTGCTTCCTTGTCCTCCGGTAACACCCTCGGTTTATTTTTTGGGGCAGGGGTGGGCCGCTTTAGAATCAACCAACAACAAACATTTGGAGAAGGGTTGCCCTTAAAAACTTATTAACCAGAAACCAAGCGGGTGTGGCTTTTTTTTAACACATGGTTGGTGTCCTTTGGTGTCCCTTTAAAACCAACCAACTAGGGTAGCCTCAAAAATCGGGCTTTTTCCCAGTGCCCAAATCCCTCCAGCGTTGGCTGGCGGCTCGGGGATCTTTGCTATCGATCCAAGGTCGCTACGAGCTTTTGCGGCAGGAGGTGGAGATTTATCTCAGCGTGGACCACCCCAACATCGCCCAGCTGCATCTCGGCTCAGCCCATGGGAAACCCGACGCCGGCGAGCGCGAGGGGAGGCGAGACAAACGGTTGGCATGTAGAAATTCCAGATCAAAGGCTCTCCCCCATTCACCCCCCACCCCCTGACCCCCCTCAAAAAAAATGGGGGGTTGCATGATCATAAATTGGTTTTGAGATTACGCAGGCCCCTACAGGTGCAAGTACCTTCTAAGTGGCACTTGACCCGACCCTCCATGGGTACTTGGACCCTTAGGGTGCGTGACGCACCTGGACTCGGAGTTGTTTCGTGCATGCCGGGTGCAGTGGCATTCTTACGCCATGGCACAAGAGACATGCTTGAACCTACCTTGTGTTGTGTTGTAGGGGAACCCCCCTTGACAAAAAAGGCTTCGGTGCGCCTTTTGGTTTCCCTTTGAAACCGCAAAAAGGGGTAGCCTCAAGAAACACACACTCACCTCAGTCAGAAGGGCGTCAGAAAAGTCGCATCTGGTTTGACGACAATCTTGAGCGATTTCCACTCCCATCATGGATATTGAGGAAAGGACCCTGAGAGCTATCCCTGCCGCAAACATGAATACTTGGGAAGGGAACTTGACAGGACTGGGCCTAGGGTCCATGTCCAGGTTCCCTTTTATGGCCCAAATCAAGCCAAGGGCTCATCAAGTCTTGAGCCTCACTTGCCACTGCCTTCTTGCCCGGGAGGTAGGGCGCCTAGGGGGAATCTTATACTAAATCCCCCAGTAGTGCCCTTTTACCCTTTTTTGGGGATGGTTCTACTAAAATAGACTACAGAAAAAAAGGTATATTCTAATCTCTCTACTGGAGGACCTTTTAGTCTCAAGTCTGCTATAGGAGTGACGTCTACGAGTGGGACGATGGCATCGCTCTCATCATGGAGCGCCTTGGGTGAGGGGTGGAAGCTGCCTCACCGATTCCTACCCGCTTCCACTCCCCAAACGTGGAACCCAAAAAGGGGGTGCCCCAAACGGAGTCTCCTCTGCAAGCGGTGTATGACTTCGGGCTCCATGCTGTTTTGGGGGGGGGGAAATTCGCTAGTGAGTTGTTCAAAGTTCCTCAAAACCCATACATTTTGCCTAGAGCCCCTATTTAACACCCAGGGAGTTCGTCGCTGCTACCAAACATCAGCGGCCAAAGTGAGTCTGCAAAAGAACAAAGCACGTTTTGGTATTCCATGGAGTGGAACCGAGGAAGTTGTTTGTTTCAGGAAGAAACTTTGCGCACTTGCCCAGGGAAACGGATCTCGCGACCCTGGGCATTCGTGTACTCTAGGCACTGAAACATGTGATCATTTTCTCTTGGTTGCGCTGGTGAGAAGACCCAAACTTCAACAAGGTCCGGTGTAAAGCCAATACAAAACGTGGGCATTCGGAGGCGAAATTAATTCGGCAGCTCTTGAATTTTGAGCCACGCCAGCAAGATTTGCTCATTTGCTCCCCTTCCTGGACGCATCCATTTTCTGATGAGAAGCTGGGTCCAACAGCAAGCGCTGGCCCTGACAAAGGTGGCCCAATAAGTTCCGGTTATAACAGCTCCTTAAAAGATACACCTTGCCACCATTTGAAGAATGTTGCTTTTTTTTAACCAAAATGTCAAGAAAAACCACCATTTACAAGGCAATGTTCAGGTGTATAATGTAAGGATCCCTGTACTAAGTAGCCTGTACCCAGCCAGTGTTTGTTGGTTTTTAGAGGGTGGTTCCCTTTACTACACAGGGAAATGGAATCACGGGCCTGGTTGGGTTCCAATGAAGCTTGGAAGGTGGCAATGGGACCACTTTCACCTACTTTGTGTTGGGAATGTAGAATTGAACCTAAAACCCAGAACAAACCCAGAAGACAGAAGACAATTGAAAGAAGAAACAATTGTTTCAACCCAGAAGACAATTGAAAGAAGCGCAAACATCGAAACCAAGGCCAGACACCTTTTTTTTTTCGGGTTCCGGGCACCCTTGGCCACGGGGAACATCAGCTTGATTCTGGCAAGGCTGAAAGAGGCAGACAAAAGCGTCCTGGTAGCTATTTGCCAGACAAAAACGTCCTGTTTGTTTTTTGGGGGGGTTGAGACACTTGACCATTCCCTTCACAAATCCACGGTGGAATTGAGTTTCGTGAAGACTCTCTTAGGCTGCCCCCTTTCAGCATTTGCTTGAACGTGGGGATGCCTGTTTTGCTGGAAGGTACCTCTTCTTGTGGGGGTGTTGGAAAGTGACATGTTGAGAGATCCCAAAATGTGTGACAAACTCTATGGTTCTGTACGTGAATTTTCAACGCGCTGAACTGCAAATTTTGTTAGTGCCCCAAAAGGATGCTACAGGCGGATGGACTGCAATCAATTTTGACCCTCCCCCTAGTGGAGTTTGTCAAAATTGGCGGAACCCAAAACTGGGTTTTGGTGTTCACTCTTTGTTGCAGGTGAAAGGGGTGCCTTCAACAAAAACACACACACCCATGTTTGTTGCTCTGGAACCCCAAACAATCCAGTCGTTGTAGAGGAATCCCCTTTTGGCTATGCCATCTCAAAAGTGGTTGGTGGACAGAACCCCCAACCTAAATGATGTTTACCAAAGGGTCTCCCGTTTAACTTCACACCCGCACCCGGTCCCCTTGACTGCGAGTCTTTCGTGGACCACATTTAGGTGCGGATTCAGGTTCACTAACCACTTTTCATGGGGGCTGGGGGGGAGGGAGGGGGGGGGGGGAGGGAGCCCAAATAAGCCCTAAATAAGGCCTTATTAAGGGCTTAATAAGGGCTTATTTGGGCTCCCCCTCCCCCTCCCTCCCCCACAGCCCCCATGAACTTTTCACATTGATTCCCCACTAAAATCATAGCCCTGCGGTACGTGATTTTTTCTTTTCGGGGAGTGTTTGAAACGGACACCACATGAGCTACAATCAAAACCTGGGTAGATGAAGGATAGAAAGGGACGATCCCAGCCATAAATAGCTGCGGAATTCCGCCTTCTTAGTTCTTTACATGGTTCTGGGTGCACCATTTGTGTACCAGGTTTTGATTGTGACTCACATGAACACCGCGGTGTTTTTTTTTTTGTAGGGCTTCCCTTTGAGACAAACCCACGTCTAGGTATTGCTCCGGGGGCGAGCTCTCTACTCGTGGGCTTGAAGACGAGAAGGACGTGGCACAGGCCAGTGTCAGATCTGTTGAGGTGGTTTAGGTGGCTCGGAACCAGCCATCCGGTTCCTTCGGATCTTTTATGGTTTAGTGGTAGTTTCCGAATTTAACCCACTAAAAGTTGGTCACTTTTAGCGGGGCATTTGAGGGCAGCCCAGCTTTTTTGTGGTTGGGTGTCCGAATTTAACCTACAAGTGAGTCACTTCTAGGTCCCCCAGTAGTTCCCTTTTACCCTTTTTGTGGGAGGGTTCCCCTACTACAATAGACTACAGAAAAAAGGGTACCCTTATTCTAACCTCTCTACTGGAGGACCTAGACTTTTAGCAAAGGATTAGAATTTAGTCACTTTTGGGGAGGATCATTTTATTGGTAAATAAAAGGTTTTGACTTTGTTTGGCCCATCCACTCAGGAAGTGAGTCTAACAACCATAAACCGGAGCAGCAGCCACAGAGCTGTTGTTCTAACTCACAACCGGCTTTTTGGCCGAGCCAAGAGGCAAATGGAGGTCGAAAACTGATTCGGGGTTGGACAATTCCATTGATGCTCATGGGGCGGGCGCAACCCCTAGAACTTGTTTTTTGGTTGGATAGGGGAGCTCACTTCCATCGTACTCACACTTACAGGCAGACAAGTGGTTTGTTAGTAAGTACAAGGCGCCGGGCCTGAACATGTGCTGTCTCGTAACACAGGGTCCTTTGTTTGGGTGGTGCGGTCTTTTTGGTTGGCATCATGCTCCTAAACTAAGGGAGCCCGGAAGATGTGTTCGCCCTTTGGCATTGGTAGATATTGTGGACGAAATCCATTTCGCGGAATGATTCAATTCGCCAAGTACCAACAAACAATGTTGTCCCATGGTTTCAACGGTGCAGGATCTCGTTCATCCACAGTACTTCCCCAGAATTAGTTCCCCTTTTTGATCTTTTGCTTTTTTGGGGTCCCTTGGTTTTTCACTAACCAGGCAAACACATATATGCTGGGGTCCTAATTCCAGCCTAGAGTATACACCGTTTTCTCCTTGGTTGGAATCTCCATTGAAAAGCTGCATGTTCTTAACAGGGCTTTCAAGCTTTGTTGGTACCCAACATGGCAACCATATGCCTTGGGGCACAAGTACGAACAAACAAACTCCACCCTCATAAGGTGTTGGCAGGCTTCGGTGACTCTTGGAAGCTGCTAGACTAGGTACCCAGATTCCGAACATCTCCTTTTCAGCAGCTTCCGTTGCGGTGGCTCTCCGGACGCTTTTGTTGGGGCGCTTTTGCAGGGCCCTTCACCCGTCACCCCCCTCGGATCCGGGCGAACGCCCCCAATTTTCCCGTGGCGGAGGCGACGAAGCAGATGCTGCACGCGGTGAACTACCTCCACGCGCATCACATCGTCCACCGGGACTTGAAGCTCGAGAACTTCCTCTACGACGCCTGGAGCATCCAGATGCGATGCCGATGCCGAGCGAGCGAGCCGGTTGTTGTTGTTTTTGTGTTTTTTTTTTTCACCGACGTGTTTTTTGTTGTTGTTTTTGTTTTTTACATTGAACGTGGGCAGGTCATCTTTTTTTGGGGTACCCGGAAATGGTGTGTTTGTTGTTACGGGGAATGGAAGGGACAACTCGCATGGTGCGAGAGATGCAGGGAATGAGACATGGAATGGACTGGAAGGGGATTCCCGAATGAAGGAAACCACTTCTCATTCCATGTGCAGTCCATTTCTCATTCCATGTGCAACCAGCAAGAAGGACACATTAGGATTAATCGATATTCGGATGACTTTTCTCATTTAGTGCTTGACATATCGTATCTGTTTGGTGGTTTTCCCGGCATGGTGATCCCATGTACAGGTCCGAGATACATGGAATTTCTGCAGATTTTTCATAGCTCACCGATTCGGGGGTATAGCGCGGTCACCGTGATAAAGGTGCTTTGATTGAGGATCCCTTAAAGCAGCTCGTGGATTTATAGCAAAAATTGCAGATGGGATCACCATTAGGGGAAACCACCAACACCATGACTTTCATCACTAAACGGAAAAAAATACCCATGGTCATTGGCCCAGGAATATTGATCAAGCCCCACATCGAGAGATGCAGGCAGTTACTGACCCCGGATTGAGAAACTTCTGCTGATTGATATATGTTGCGGCCCCTCCAAATGTGATGATTCGCGCCGCAAAAACCAGGAACACCCCCCTATTCAACCAGGGGTTGACCAATCCGGCGTAAACATTAAATAGATTTTCCCATTTGCGGAGCAATTAACCTGCTGAGCCGTGAACAAAAATGTGGTTTGTCTCAGACAAGGGCAACCCGCAAAAGGCTTAGCTTCCTTTTGGTTTCCCTTTAAACCAACCCAAAATCGTCGACCCTCACAAAAGACGCCCCTGTGTCCCATGTTTTACGACCATGTTGGCCGGACCCACACCATGTGGTGACCTTTACCATGTTGTTTACCCCATCACTCTGGGGCATGGAAATCCACTGGGCATCTGAGGAACTCTGAGGATCTATTGATTGCTTCAGTCGGATTTCTCTCAATTCCGCCAACTCACCTGCTGAGTTGGCACGGTGTCTCTTTGTCATTTCAAGCCTAAACAAGTTTGACCAAACTCAGCAGCTCAGACACAGGAATGTCCTCTTGGGTGACCTTCTTTTGAATTTCCATTTCGATTCGCGGGGAGTTTGCGGGTCAGTATCCTGGTTCTTGGTTCTTGGGTGGCCTAAAAATGGAAATCCACTTGGCATCTGACCCTCAGATGTCGAGTGGATTTCCATGGGACAAAAACGGGGGCTTCCTTTTTTTGGTTGGTTGAGTTTAAAGGAATCGGAACCTCAAACCTAAAGTACAAGTAGAAAAACAAAAACGGAGAAAGGGCGTCCTTTTTTGGTTGGTTGTGTTTAAAGTTGAACCCTTCCCCAAACAAAAAGTCGATTATAAAACAAAAAAACAACTCAGGCGATATCCCCAACAGCACCACACCCTCCCCGCAGAACCCGCCTTGGGACCCACCTCACCGCCGGTTTTGCTCAGGATGCCGCCTTGTAACTTATAAAGCAAGGCGAAGAGTGACAGCACAATCGCGCCCTGATCGGGCAATCGGGGCCCGAGCGGGGCCCGACGGTGCAATCGGGCCCCGACCGGGGCCCGATGGCCCCGTGGTGCAAGCGGGCTCCCAGTGCTGCGTCATGCCAAAACGGACACTTACGGCATCCAGTCGATCTTTGGCAAATCCCGGCTATGTTCGATCGTTTGTCAAAGCTCCAACCACCAACAAATTCAGTTAGCACACAACAATCCCCCCCCATTAAGTTGAATGTCCACTCTCCTTTTTTGCTTCCCCTGTTTCGCCTGTCGATGACTTGGAGGGAAATAACGGGATCTGAAAGGGTTGGATTCCAACTGTAGCAAAAGCGCGATCGGGGCCCTGACGGTGCATCGGGCCCCGATGGTGCAATCGGGCTGCCAAACCGGGAACTCAGTGTGAAAGTTTGCTGGAACCTGTCCTCAGGGCTGTTTTATAGCTTTTGCAGAACGTGGGGGAAGCCTTGTGGAGCGTTTTAGGAACCTTACCCCATAGCCCTTGCAGCCTCGGCCTTGGAACCCAAAGCCCACAAAGCCAACATTTCGGGCCGCGTTGTCTGAGCAAGTGAGCAAGTCAAAACAGCGAACGCGTGCTGAAAACCATTGATTTCGGTTTTCCTCATTTCCGCCCATGAGCAAAGCGATCTTCTGAGCTCTCAATTTACTGCTCCGATGGCTGTTCAGACGGCGGGCACGACACATTACTTTTTTGCAGGGCAAACCGCGAAACCCTACAGAACATGTGGAACCTTGTGGAGCCTTGTGGAACCCTTGTGGAATCCTTGTGGAACTCTGTGGAACCCTGTGGAACCTTACTTCAGGGCCGCCCGGACCATCCCACAGCTGGAATTCTGGTCAGAACCTGGAACCTTTGTGGAACCTGTCGCAAACCAATGGAACTCTGTTGGAGCTTTCATGGAACCTTACCTCAAACCACCCGGACCACCCCGCAGCCCTTGCAGAATTTCGTTGATCCCTGGTCAAACCCAGCCCTCGCAGAATGTGGTGGAACCCTGGTGGAACCTTGGTGGAACCCTTGGTGGAACCCTTGTGGAACCTTACCTCAAAGCACCCCGGACCACCCCGCAGCCGTCGCAGAACCTGGTGGAACCCTGGTGGAACACTTCTGCCGGAACCCTCGTGGAACCTTACCTCAGGGCCGCCCCGGAGCACCTCGGAACCTATCTGGGCTGAGACCCCAAAGCTTTCAGCTGTTGGGGAAAAACACACGGGCACCAATGGGCAACCGAGTTGAGCTATACCCACCCACCGCGGGCGGGGGGATTTTTTCGGAGCAGCTGAGGAGAGCTCTGAGAAGTCCTCCCTGCTGAAGCTCATCGACTTCGGCTTGTCCTTCACCTTGGACGCGCCTCGGCTCGGGCGACTTTTCTCACCCAGCCAGTGGACACTTTACATGTTTTTCCTTGGTGGCTGTCCCTTTATTTTAGTGGTGGCCCAAAAAGTGTAGACTTTTTTGGGCTGGTCGCTGGTCAAGCGAGTTTTCTTGTTTCCCGTTTTTTTCTTAACAAAAAAACGACTTCGATTCTAGGTCCCCCAGCTAGGTGCCCTTTTACCGTTCCTTTTTTTGGGGGAGGGACTACAGAAAAAATGGGTACCCTTGTTCTATCCTCTCTACTGGAGGACCTATCATTTGCTTAAGAAAATATGGATGTGATTGTTTCTTAGGCGGTTTGTAGAATTACTTGGCGAGTCAGTCGTTTCTGGGGATAACCTGTCGTTCTGTGGAATAAACAGGCGTTTGTGTTGCGAGAACGGCGCTGTTGTCACTGCTGATGATGCCGGAAAGGGACGCCCCGCTATTGATCATCCAGAGGTTTATCAATCTGGGTATAGGTCAAAATTGAACCACCAGGGGACCGCACGTTTTTATTCGTTGGTTCCATTTATCAGGGTTCCATTTTGGCTACCCATTTTCGACCCACAGCCATCTGGGGTCAACCTTAGCTGAAGTTAGTGTGGCCAATCTCAGAAAGTGAGGGGTCCCCAGGACCCATGTGAAGCCCAACGGATATCGAAACTTCTTCGGACCAGCAAAGCGACCCCCTGCAAAGTGTTCTATCTTGTTGTTTTTGGCCACATCTTTTTGGTGGCTCGTCTTTTTTGGAAGGCACCCCTTTTCAGGCTTTTGGTTGGCCTGTCTTTTCTTGAAGGCACCCCTGTTCAGGCCTGTTTGAAGGGGAACCAGCAGGAAACCCGCCCCCCCCTGCCCCCCATGGCGTCGGTGCGAAGGGCGCGGAGATGACGATGAAGGCCACGGTGGGCACGTTGCTCTACTGCAGCCCCGAGGTGGTCTCTGCCAAGGCGAGATCCGGTCGTTAGGGCCGCAAACGGGGTTCCATCGGAGGCTTCTTCGCTTTCTGGTTTGGAGGGGTCAAAATTAGAATCGCCAGAAAAGCTGTTTTGTTGGTGGGCGCGCGCAGGTCGTCGGGTGTTTTCGCATCGTTTTTTCTGTTTGTCAGGCTTCACGTGGTGCGGATGGGGGGGGTGGGGGGGGGGTGTCAGCGTTCGGACAGCACTGCAACAATGGCGAGCCAAATGCAAGGCGTTGGTTTAGGGGGAACTGATGACATCTGGCGTCATGACATCTGGCGTCCAGCCCTTTTTTGACCAAGTTCGTTCCTTTGGATTTACCCTATAACGGAGGTAGATGAGCTGCATCAGGCATGATTTTCGGGTTGTGTTGAAACCTGAACAACGCGAAAAAAAGAATCGAGGGGAAACAGTACTGTGTCCCAACAGCATCGATGCAAGAGTAACGAATGGACACCGCAGCAGCAGCGCTATCAGCTCGATTTGTTTTTGCCTCGCTCTCAGGAGTCGCCCCGCGACCCTTTGAAACCTGGCTAAGGGATAAGCCTAAGCTAGGTGCGAGAACAGTTGACTTGAGCCAAATGTGGCCGTTACGTGTACATGTCATGAAATTGGCATGTCGCTGTTAAACCATTGACCAAAAAAGGCGGTGTAAGCCACAAAGAGGAAGAGCGACAGTTGCAGTAAGGTGTGAACTGCATGAACTTGCATGGTCGAAGTCTTTTTGAGTGGGCGAGACATGATGTTCAAAAACGTAAAGGGAAGCGGCGATTTTACACACGGCGGACATTGTAGTATGGGTATGGGTCAAAATTAAGCCACTGGGATATGGACCGCAGGCTTTTAGTCCTTCTTTCCATTTACCTGGGCAAGTCATGTTGGGTACTTATTTTTGACCCACGCCCATCTCCCGAGTTCCTGGACTTACTTTTTGGTCTGACCAGAGAAAGCGGCAAACAAGTTCAGACTGTTTCTGGTCAACCCGCTAAGGGGAAGTGAGTCAACATCTCCTTTTGGTTTGCCTGTTCAAGCGATTTTTGTTTTTTTGGGGTGTTTAAAAAGCAATTATGGGGAACGCTGGTGTCAGAATATGGACCCCCAGATTAAGGGGGTTTCCGTTTGATTTCCATTGAACAAATCTCCCACAAACGACAGACCCAAATAATTACATGAGATCGCCACCTCGCGCTGGGACTCAATTTGCAACCGGAGCTTGTTGGGATGCCTGTGTTTATCTTATAGGTGGCTCATTGCTATACGAACCTTTCATCTCTTTCGCCTCCAAGTTGTGAGCCTGTCCCAACTGCTTGTAGTTCCTATGGTTCTTTGGCGCCCGGAGGTTTCCCCCGCAGCAATGCAACAAATGACGGAAGTTTGAGGGCGGCCGCCATTTATTTTTTTGGCTCACTCCCTGAGTCTTTGCACTGGATACCAGGGAAAGTCAGATTTTTTGAAGGCAGACAAACTGTTTCTCCACAAAGGATTTGGGAAACGATGTTCCTGAAAGCCGACAGATTCAAGGTCAGTTTGCGTGGACATCATGGTTCGTGTGAATGAAGCCTCGGGCTTGTCATGGCATTCGGTCTTTGGGAAAACCAGCAGAAGCAAATTGGCGTGTTTGTTTTTCTCCCGCGGCCGGAGACGCATCAAACCTACCCCTGGAAGATGCAGGATGTGGTCGTTTCAGGGGACGCGTGTCAGGGTTGGGCATAGTGAAGCTTCTATTGTTCAACTAACTTCCTGAGTTCATGAACTTTACACTTTTTGGGAAGACCATTTTAGTGGTAATTATAAAGTTTGGACTTTTTTGGGCCATCCACTCAGCCAGTGAGTCTATTGTTCAATTCGATACAGCCATTGCCAATGATTTCTTCAGAAAGTTTGCCCAAACTCCTCAGGTTTCTGTAGGTATTTGCTCAGTTTCCGGGAGGATTTTTCCTGCAGATTGGATCAGCAGCTTCTTTGCATTTTGGCTGCCCTTGGTATGGTTCCCGGGGTTTGGTCATGTCCACACAACTGTCATGGAATCCAAACACTCCCCTTACCCCCCCTCCCCCCAAAGCCTTGTTTAGAACTGTTTAGAGGAAACCTGGGGAGAGGATGGAGTAGGGGATCTGAGTGGCGCCCGCTTGCTCAGGAGTACACCAGCAAGTGTGCCGCTTGACTCAAGTTGTGCGATGCGGGGGGGGGAAATTGCTGTTTCGTCTTTGCTCCAGTTGGGAGGAACATGGGGAACTCTCGAAATGTTTTTCAACATCCAGGGACTCGATCCATAGGGTAACGTTTTTTTAAACCATGGCTAAGATGACCACCGGGCATTACAAAAACGGCGCAGGCTATTTACCTCGAACCATCGATGCTACAACCTCCCTTGCCCCAAAACCACTCCCACAACTGTGAACACCTTGCTCTTGTTGACCCCTGGCCGAATCAATGCTAGTCTTGGGACGTCTAGAGAGCATCCAAAGCATGCATTCGGAATCATTCGGAAAGAGTTTTGCTAGAAGCCAGCCGATGGCGGCCCCCTTCGCCATCCATTGTGTTTTGGGGGGTGGGGGTACTTTTCCCGTTAGAGGGGATTAACAGACCTCAGGTGACCTTGTCCGTCGCATCTCTTCAGGAAGCTTCCGTGTTTGGCTTGCAGCAGGTGGCTTTGTGGCTTTGGCTGTTCACTCAGGTCCAAATTCAATCTGGGGTAGCCAAATAAATACAGGTGTCTCGAAATGGTGGGCCCCTTTTGGGTGGCTTTAAAGGAAAGCCGTAAACGGACTCAACCATTTTGGGGTTCTATTTTGAGACACCCAAATTAACATTCAGGCAAATCATCCGCGCCCCCCAAAAACGCATGGCCATGGGGCTGTCGTAAAACAGGGGCTTTTGCATCTGAACAGATCCCAAACAGGTCGCCATGGCCCGACTTGCCGAGCCCCCAAGGGGTAGAACGACCCTGTCCAAAACAAAGCCTGAGACTCTTCCAGATCCCTCCGGGCTCCGCTAGCACCGAAATGAGGACCGTTTTTTGGAGGCCGGAAGGTGGTTTCTCCCCAAAATGGTGGGCTTTTCCAGAAGACCCCTAAATGCTCGGAATGAGGGTGTACCCATTTGAACCATGGTACCATGTTGCTAGGCCCGCACCATGTTGCTTGAACCTTTGCTGGTTGTAAGTTTTGAAGGGAATCTATCACCGTAAGACACATTCTTGTGTTTATGTGATCCAGGGGATTCAGGCAAACGGAGGCACACCCAAAATGCTCGGTTCTTTGAGGTGGAACAGTGGCACCCCTGTTTGAGGTGCGCTTTTCATGGAAACCACTGGACAGCACCACCATGTTTGGGGATGTTTTGAAATAAGACACACCCAAACAGAGGTCCCCCCCTTCTTCGCGGGACAAGTCTCTGAGGACCTTTGGAGCCTGGGAGTGATCGTGCCTCGGACGCACGCTCGTGAGTCGGAGATGTTGAACGCTAAAACGCGGGGTCGTCGAAGAAACCGGGCCCTGCGTTGTTGCGTTAAACGGGTGACGTATGTTGCTTGCTTGAACCCTCTTTTTGGTTGGTTTTCCTGGTAAACTACGGTGGATGGTTGCGAAATCCGTTCGCACCACCGTTCAGAAACCATGGCTGAAACCATTGTTTGTTGGTATTTACAGGGGAAGTCAATCATTCCAGGGTTTTGGAACGGTGAGATTGGGAACACTTCGGAAGGAAGCGGATCGGAATCTCCCAAAAAGAGTTGCCCCCTTCGTAGCCTAATTTGTGGGGGTTCTCGGTAGGGAACAAATCAAAGGTGACCCAGTCTTTGCGAAAGCAAAGTTACGCCAATCTTTCAGTGCTCAGTGTTTGCACGTGTCCAATTCAGTGTGTCCCCTGTTGTGGGCTTGGTGTTTTCTTTTTTTAGACGCCGGACGGTATGTGTCATATTCGGTCATATTTGGGAGTGCCCAGCATGGGCGCATCGGTTTCCGAGTGGGTTTCCCAATAAAGATCAAACCCAGAGTTTCTGGACTTACACATGGTTGTTGTTGGGAAACATTTTACATTTTTGCTTATGCGGTTGAGTGGGAAAGTCTCACTTAACTGCCAAACAAAATATTTTGCTCCCCAAACCCAACGTCGATCAACCAAGTACAGCTGTTTGGGACGAGTCGTGGCACAGAGTTTGGGAAGCCTGGCCTTCACTCTCAAAGGCGTATAGCTTCAACCGAGCCGAGTGTGACCCCCGGGGGCACCCTCCTTGGATCTTTGACCTACCGAAATCCTCCGAAATCCGCCATGTCCGGAAAAAGAAGCCAAGCATGTGGTGGGACCATTTGAGCCACAATCAAAACCTGGGTAGATGAAGGTTAGTAAGGGACAATCCCAACCAAAAATAGCTGCGGCCGCCTTCTTAATTCTTTACATGGTTCTGGGTCAACCATTTTAAGGCCGGGTTTTGATTGTGACTCATTTGTAAGCTTGGCTTCGTGGCTTTTTGGTGTTGGTTCCCCACTCGCCCACAGGTGGCCAGCTTTTTGCAAGGGCAACAGCCCGTGTGACCAAAAGGCAGTCTCACAGTTGGGTGGCTTGCAGCCGTCAAGATAGCATGACTCACTTGCCCAAAGCGAATCGACCTTTTGACCTTTTGGTTTTCCCATTTTGGTCCATTTTTAGTAAAGGTCCCAAAAGGTTAACCTGTTATTTCCAGGTCCTTTGGGCAAGTGAGATGAGATTGTGAACATTTGGGTCTGTTTCTTTTTCCAGGTTGGAAACATACTCAACAAAGGAGTGCCAACTCCAAAAACGACAGACCATTTGCCGACGGTTGTTTGGGTTGCCCTTTCCCAGGCCACATTTGTCAACAAAATCGATTGGGGCCTTCGAATGCGACCATTGGACACTCGTCACAGGGTTTCCTCCCCACGATAACCTGGTTGCAGAAAAAGACGGGAGACTTAAAGTGACCCACTCATTCTTGATCTGATTCTTAAGAGCGGCAGCTGGCAATTGAAAAGGTGTTTGAGCGATTCGATTTACACGCCCCACCTCCCACCTGGTATCCGTTTAGGGCCCCTGTTTAGCAAATGTTTGTTGTTTTATGGGTGAGTTCCCAGTGATGCTATGTTGCGTAGAGGGAATACACCCCTAGGATGGCTTATCACGGGCTAATTCTTGGCTTATCCTAGGCGGCTTATTTTCTTGGAGGCCCATATGTGTATTTGTATGATTTCGACTCGGGAACCACCAACTACAAGTGACTGGTGGGCGTGAATCCCGCAAATGTCCACCATGTTTTGTCCCCAAACAAACGTCACACCTTCGCATTCTCTAAAGGATTTTGTTTTGTCTTTTTGGGGCTTTCTTGTTTTTGTTCTGGGTGCCATTAGGGGGCTGGGCTCTAAAAGGACATGGGATAAAGGATCCCCTGTGGTGCTCTTGCTCTTTTGGTTTCAAAGGCCCATGGCCCCCCTCCCAACCTCCCCCCCCCCCCCCGCCCCTTCCCGCGTTTCGTGAGGTCTTCATGTTGCTCTCGGGCCGGCCGCCTTTTCTGATGTCCCAGGGTCAGGATCGCCTCAGCATCTTGGATCTCGTTGAAAACCCGAACAAAAACCCGCTGCGCTGGGCCTTCAGAAATTAGGGGTGTCGGTTTCGGAGTTCTTTTGGGGCTCCAAACAGCTTGGATTTGGGGGTCTCAGTACTACTACAGAACGTGAGCATATTGATTTTGGTGTGCTCAAGCGTTGGGGTAAGCATCCCCCCCCCCCTGCCCGGGAAAAAACGGAAGAATAAAAAAAACGGGCATCAAAGGGCACCAGGGGCCCCCTATTCAGGTCCCATGGAAAGCCACCCTGCCATTCTTTTGTGTGCAGCGAATCCTACAATTTTCAACGTCTTGTGGTTTAAGGGACGGATTCTGGGAGCAAACCGGCCCCTTCAGTCCTGGCACATGTTTGGAAGTCCGGGTCGCGTAGAAGCCCAAAAGGGCCCACAGTTTCCAGCTAAGGGGAAAAGCTTCGCTGGCCATGGATCACGGGGCTTTCTTCGAGGATTGTCACTACCCCCAGATATGGAAATAGGAAGCCTCAGTTGCAACATGTCTCAACCTCCCAGATCCTGTTGCTCGGATATGTTTTGGCCCCAGCTGTACATAACATGCATATTACCATAGTTATACTTGATATGATACATTATATATGATAATATAGCAATGCTCCTACGCGGCATAAGCAACCTTGGATCGTCGCTCTCATACTTTGTGGCTTTTCAAGAGACCATTCTCCAATGTGATCCTCGGGCCCAAGACATAGGTTCTGCGGTCTAAGTTGCTTGAAACTCCTGCGTACATTGCACCAGCACACAACGTTTCGCCCTGGGTCAGTGGTTTGTGGGTAGTAGAAGTCCTCGTCGATCAAGTTTGTCAGCAGACCCTAAGGTTTTACGGTTGCCACCTTGCCCTACAAGAGGATCATGCGCTTGTCACATCCGACAGGAACCCATTTGCGTGTGTGCTTTTGAGGGTATACCCTGTTTCGGGGAGACCAAGAAGGACCTCGAGAATTTGATGTCAAACACGTCCCCGTATTTGACATGTGATCGAAACCCATAGGTCTAGGGGTACTTTTCCCATTCTTTCCAGGGATCCTTTCTTCTAAAAAACCTCCGGCAAACCCCATGGAAAAACGGCTGGTTCTTGAAAAGAAGGATGGTTGAAAGGAATGGCAAAGGGAGTCAACCCCTAGAACTATAGAGAAACCTTCCTGGGACTGCTTCCTGACCTTCCGCTTCCTGGGAAACCCCTAGCGCCTCAGGGCGAACGGGCCTTGAGGCAAGAACATCTGCAGGGGAAAGATCGAGTGGGACCGCCTCGATGCCTCCCTCGACGCGCCGGGGGCCCGGGGGCTGGGTGGTTTTTAGTTGGTTCGGGAGGCGGCTGGGGCATCCCCTTAAAACGGAAACCAATGGCCAAGGGGTGTTTAAACATGCTCAAACATTGGGATTGGATCACCATGTTTAACAAGTGACACCAAAGGGAAACCGCCCATTTGGGGGTTCCATCCGTGAAAGACAATCCCAAATGGCGTGTTTGTGTTGTTTCTTTGGTTTTTTCAGCGACGGTTCTATTTTGAGACGCCATGGCTAGTCGTTTTTGGATCCTGATTTCTTCTTAGATTGTTTGGCCATTATTCACTTGGTCATGTGTGTCAGAGTTCCTTTTGGTTTCCCTTTCAACCAGCCTGAAAAGGATACCCGCACAAGACGCAAACCCGTTTGTTGTTTGGATTGAACCTTCCAAGAGGTCACATGTTTTCCCGAAGTGGGGTACCCACTCGGAGGTTTCTGGGTGCGATGCCCGGGCCACGCGCCTATGTATGTATTACTTTGTGGAAAACATGTTTGAGTGGCAGACCACAAGTTTGGGAGTCTGGGAGCCGGGCAATTTGTACTTGGCCCGTCCAAGTAACACCCAAGAGCACTGCAGTTTACAGTGGCTGCTGGGTTGGACCTTGAGCCCCAAGTTGAACTTCGTGTGCAGGGGATAGATGGAGTCTCTGCCAAAATCATGTTCCATTTAGAATAGACTAAATATGAACGTCCATTGCTTAAGAATGCTTGGTTTTAAAGGGCATCTATCACGACGGGGACATATGTTTTTGTCCAAGGCGGCTTAAGCAAAAGGAAGCGTTACATAACCAAGTGATGTATCAACTAATACCAAGTGAGGTATGAAACATAACTTGGCCCAAGAAAGCAACACCAGAAACCTTTGGTGCATGTTGCTCGGATGCTAGGACTTTAACTCTTTTTGCCAACTAATGTTTTTTTTTCCATTAAACCACTCAAGGTTAAAAACAAATTGGCAGGGGAGCAGAAAGCAACCGAGACGGTGCCCCTGAATCCTTTTTCTGGGGGGAGGGGTTCCCCGAAAAGAGGCCAAAACAAAGGAGGGAGTCGGGCACCAACTTCTTCTAACCTCAAATCTGGAGGGCCTAGAGGAAAACCAGAACAAACGCCTGGGTGTGGCTCAAAATTAAACAGGAGGGGCAAACCGCTGGTTTTGGTACCCATGTTTCCACTTGCCAGGGCAACCCATTTTGGAATTCCGGTTTTTGAGCCACAGCCACGTGGTAGTTTCGTTCGTAAGCGGATGCATTTCCCACGGCCGGCCGGCCGAGGTCGGATTTCGTCCAGAAGCTGCTGGCGGTGAACCCGGAGAAGCGGCTGGATGCGGCTGGGACTGGCCCTTTGGGGGACTGGGGCTGTCAACTTAGATCCATTTAAGCTCAAGAGTCGTTTTTGTTTTTTCCTTAAGCTTACCTCTTAAAAACACAACTTTTCAACTTTTTGGGTAACATGGGCTATATGTCTGTAAAAGATTAACTTCCCCAAGGCTTGGAGTTTTAAGGGGTAAGACTTAGATCCATTTAAGCTCAAGAGTCGTTTTTTGTGTTTGTTCCTTAAGGAGCAACTGGCCTGGTTGGAACCCTTGGTTTGAAAGGGAATCTATCACTATTGGACATATTTTGTTTGTTATGTTTTCCAGGCGGCTTGAGCAAATGGAGACTTATGTGAGTTTGTTGGAATGTGGAACAGAACGCCAGGGTCCAACTATAGGCACACGCGCCATGGTCCAAAGACGGTTCCTTTACCGGGGGTTAACAGGGAAAATCAGGATCGTTCATAATTTCAGAACCATTAGAATGATTCCTATTAAGGGAGCCGTGACCCTAGGCCGTATCAGGAGGTTCGACCATGGCTCGCATAGTTTCTAGAAATCCCCTAAGCACAGGTGTCTTTTTTGGTGAGTTTGGAATGAACAGCAGAGGATTGCGCTGGAATAAAAGCTTGGTTCAATTTCGTCCGGAATGCGTGGATATCTCCAAAGGACACCCGGGTATGCATTGTGTAAGCGTTCCCCAGAAAAGAACCAAGGGAAGCCACGTTTTCATTTGGGAGGGGGGGGGGGCAAGGGGTTCTCCATTTTTCAAGCACCAATTTACAATAACCAATTTCCCTTGTTGATTCCTGGTTGATACCACAAATGTTGGTGTTCCGATTCCTATTTTCAGACAAACCCATTAGCACACTTGGGGGTTCATACACCACTTTGTCTAAGGATTCTCATCTGAATTGGGTCAACCATTCTTTTAATAGGGATGGAGCCTTAGGGCAATATTTGGACTGGGACTCCACCGTTGGATTCTTACCAAGCGCCATCCAAAGCGAGCCAACGAACCCATTAGCACAATTGGGGTTCATACACCACTTTGGCTAACGAGCCATGAGCTTCACTGTTCACCCTTTAGGTTTTTTTTTGGACAAGTCTCAACCTGACTGACTCAACCACAGCTACCCCGCTCCAGTGCTGCAGGTCGAAAACCATCCAAGTACTTCAGGTCAGAGTACCCCCAAGACCGCACTCTGCATCCGCCCGATTCAATCGTGGGAGCTAGGAGCCCCTGGCCCGAAGCATGGCCAAAGACCACGATTAGTTTAGGGAGGAATCGGTCAAAGGGTTTTCCTATTTGGCTGTGGTTGTCAAAACCAATGGTATCATTTTGGGGTGGGTGCACCGCCCATTTTAGTTTATTCTAGTGGTTGGATTGGGTCCCGTTCACTGGGGGTACGATTTGGCTTTTGACCCATGGCCATTTGGACATGTGTTTAAACTAGGAGGACCATTTTTGGGGGGAAGACTAAAATTGGCCGCTTTCCTGTCGATGTTTCCTTGTTCGGCCAACCTGAGAAGGAAAACCCCCAAACCACGGGCATGTTCCTCGGATGGACTTCCTGCCTGTTTCTGGACCCGAACTCGAGGGTTCTTGGCAGTCCGAACTCCAAACAGAAGGAAGGCAACTGGAAGATTAAAACAACAAAACAAACTCTTGTGTCTTGCTGGTGCTCAGCAGGGAAGGAGGGAATGAACCTGGAGATCCCGAACAGGAAGCCAAAGATGGCTTAAATCGGGGTCATTCCATGTCTCATTCCCTGCATCTTTTTGGCACGGATCGCAAGATCTGCGTGGCTTCATGTGCCTTCGGATCTCGATCTCCGGTTGGTTTGGCCTCCAATCGGCCCTCCACTCGGCCTCCCATTTTCCATCTTGGAAAATCGGGGTCCAGGTGTCCGGTGGGTGAGCACGGGAGGAATGCATGGCGAGTGAAATTCCCCATAGGAAAATTTCACATCCAGTGAGTTCATAGGGGGGGTGTGAGAAACCTGGGTTTGGTGCGGAACAATCAGCCTTGGAGGGGAACGTTTAAAAAAAAGTAAAAACAGTGTGGAGCTTTGGGCGCTCCGTTGATGGCTTCTGATGGCATCCAGTGACTGAGGCGCCTTCAGCCTTGGAGCATCCTTGGCTGACAAAGAAAGCTCCTCGAAAGAAAAGTGGTTCAGCAAGTGCGATAGGGAATGAGAAATGGAATGGACCCCGAACTGAACCATCCAACGGGTGGTTTCCTTTAAGGGAATCCCTGGGTTACTTCCCACCTTCCCTACTTATCACACCAGGGTTCCACACTCAGCCCAGGTTCCCTGATTTCAGGTCCTGGGAAGCCCGCACTTCTCACTTGCCCAACGAGTTTATCGGCCTGAAATGACCTTTATGTTTCCACTTGTTGGTCAGTTTTGAGTTTCAAGAGGTGATCACCTCCATTTTTCGAGTTCTTGGGGCAACTTCGACTTTAGTCGTCAAACTGTCTTAAGGACTTGATGGTTCTTTGGCCCCTCCGTGAGTACAAGAGTGTGGTGGGACAGTTGCCATTTCAATTAGAGCGCATAGACCTTGCTTTGGTCCATGCCTTGAGAATGGCATAGCGGTCACGTAAGTGTAAGGAACGCAAACATAAACCCATTGACCCGCAGGGGTACGTGTTCTTTGGTTTAACGGGTGCTTTCTGATCTTGACCACTCCTGATATACAAGTGTTGAGTGGATATGGAAGAAATGGTTCTATGCAGGGACAACTGTTTGTAGGGGGTTGTCAATCAGGGTAGCTCATCGTGTAGCCAACAATGATTGTCCACCAAAGGGTCCATGCCCAATTGAGGTTCATTTAGGGCCATTGTGTGTACTGATTGGGTAAGGGACATAGAGGGGGTGCGCGGTTGTCCACGATTGTTTTTTCCCCGGTGGAGATGAAACAATTCGATCCATTGGAGTTTCAATCAGCGGTTCCAATATTGACTTGCTATGTTTCCTTTGACTTGCTTGGATTCTGCCCCAAAAGTTCAGCAAGCGTAGGTGTCCGAATTTGCTCCTGACCACTGGAGACCTCCGAAAAGATGACTGGTCAAACCTTTGCTTTGTGGCAATGTGCCAAGGGATGTTAGGACTTTAACTTTTTGCCAACTACTGGGTTTTCCATGCAACCACTAAAAGTTAAACTTTTAGCAGGGGAGCAGAAAGCAACCGAGATTGGCTTCCCAAAACAACCCAAACAGCGTACCCTTGAAAATTGCCCACCCCCGCTAGAGACAGCTGTGAGCGAGCAGTTCTAGACTTTCAATCCGATGAACATCATGCCAGAAGATCGGCAAGGGCACTCCCTTGGATTTAACAGAACACCAAGAGAAAGCCTGTTGATTTTTTTTGGATCTGTTTTGGATGGTTGTGCTTCATACTAAATGGTTCATTTGGATGGTTGTACGTGTAGATTTGTTGTGCATGTTTGTGTTTGGTGCCAAATGCGATTGCCATAAGCAAACATGTGATTTTGTTTGTTGAGGCTGAGGCAGCCATCCATTTGGGGCTTCTTCCTTGCGCTCCCCTAGTGGGTCCGCCGGGCTGGTGAGGTCAGGGTTGGAGTGATGTGATCCCTCCGCATGTTTCCCATGAAGGCAAAAGAGGGCAGGATGCAAGCGGGGTACCTCCTCCCCATTTTTCATATGGGGGGATCATTGAAGGGGACACATATAGGCCTTTCTGCAGCCGTGGGTATACCATCGCTGCTTGTAAACGCGGAAGCGGGGAGGGGGGAAGCTCTTTAGTGAGTATGTGAGGGGGTATGGTTCCCCAGAGCTGCCATGTTCATTCGTTGCGTGTTTAAGATATATTGCGTATGTTTGGCAGAATTGAAACTTGACAGTGGTTTTCAACAAGATTGTTCCCCTCTGGAGTTGTGAGATTCCATGAGGCTCCTTCTTCCAGCTTGCTCCCTATGATCGATATTTGTTGTGAACGAGCATCTTACTTCCCATGTGAACAAATGGATGGGTGGCGTAAATGAAAGGACCCTGGATTGATTCGCTTTTGGTTGATTAGCAGGGGGAGTCCCTATTTCGAGGGGTTTTTTCACTTTGCAGGGCAATCACAAGCATGTGTGTTGGCTCCAAATTTCACTTTGGGGAATCTCAGAAGTTGGTGCCACACCGAAACAATCAAGTTGAACAAAGGCTTGGTGGGTGACCAGCAAAACCTCGGTAGACGGGACATTTGGCCATAAATGGGTGCGGGCCAGTGGGCAGGGTATTTTTCCATGTTCCAGTTTCTGAATGGGTCGTCGCCTGTTTCCAGGTAGATGGAATCCCCTCGCTGTCTACACTGACCACCCACATTTCAACAGCGACATGCTACGTCACCGGAGGCAACCTGATCAACCCGTTATTTGTTTGTTCCCCCTATGTTCCTCGGTATTTCGCCGTGAACCCCTTTGGCGCCCGTCGATTCAGCTGAGGTGGCGCAGGACAAGCCCCAGCTGGGCCGGGATGTGCTGATCTCCTTGAAGCAGTGCCCCGGAAAAGGTTACCAAACTTGGTGGCTCCCAGCCATCCCCTTAGCTTTTTAGGCTTTTAGTGTTTAGTGGTAGTTTCCAGTTTCGATTTAATTTACTAAAAGTTGAACTTTTAGCGAGGGATCTGAGGGCAGCCCAGAAAAGGAAAGCCGCACTAATTTGAAAGTCTGAGACCTATTTTGGCACATTCCCAAAATAATCCACTAAAACAGTTCCAGCATGCCCCAAACACTGCTTTTCCGCGCGGTACTTGGGAACTGAAAAGGGGGTCGATCCACCTTTTAATTGACCGAATCGTTTGGGGGCTGCTCCTTAGCCCAGACACCCCAGCTAAGACTCGCTTGCCCAAAGCAAATCGACCCTTCCTTTTGGTTTCCCCGTTCTGGTCCATATTTCGTGCAGGTCCCAGAAGGTTAAAGGTCCACCTTTTATTTCCAGGTCCTTTTGGCAACTGAGAATACCCAAAACTTCTGTTTAGCACGCAGATTGATACCTCAATATCTCTAGTGAGTTACCATCACAGCCTGGTGAAGGGTAAGGGAGAACTCGGTGAGGTTTGTACCAGGTTTTGCTTGCGACTTAGGCGGTCTGTCCAGCCAAAGCCGTCTCAATGACACGGGGAAGTGAGGAATTGAGAAATTGGGGAATCCCACTTGCTATGATGCCTACAGTGATAAGGTCATGGGCATAGGTGTCCTTTTGGTTGTGTTGGTAGAAAAATAGATGGCCCTGGTTTACCTGGTGGTTTAATCATCTACCAGGACCAGGGCCATCTATTTGCCCTAAAGGGACACCTATGGTCAAAGTCACAATAATTATACGACAGCTTGACACACAAAAAAACAAAAACGTAAAATACATCATAAATACAATCCCAAATTTCGAGGGTTCGGCCCACGTTCCAACTTTTGGTTCTGGCCTTTATTTGGCAGTGTTGCTTTAATGGATGGATGAGACAACCTCCAAGGGTAAGTTTCAGGTGCCCCTTGGTTCAAGGCGGCGTAGGAAAGTCTTTTAAATTCAATCAACCCATGGAAAATCAGTTCCTTTTTCCCGGCCGCAGGAGGTGTGGCGTAGATTGAGTGGAGCCCAGGATGATAAAGCAGTGGTTGATATCGAAGTGGGCGTCTTGAGTTGAGAGAGGATCGTTTTCCTTTGGGTGGAATGTCCCTCCGTCCCTCCCAGAAGAAATGCCAGTTAGAATGCAACGATGCCAGTTAGAACAAACTCCCCCCAGCAAAAAATACCAGAACAAATGCCAGTTAGAATAGTGTGTTTGTCAACTGTACCCTTAAAAAACCTTTGCCGAGGTACACGGAGCAGTCAAAGATACAGCGTGTGTTGCTGCTTGTGCCCCAGCGAGCGAGAGAGCAAGAGGGAGTAGGAAGGAACTTGTTCTTTAGTGGGAGATTCCATACTTAATCCACTAAAGTTGAACTTTCAGCAGGGGATATGAGGACTGTTATGTTCAGTACCTCTGAAGATTTACTGAATATGGACTACAATCAAGCCACATATGTTTGGCTGGGGGCAACAGTTGAGGTTGGTTTTTGGAGGTGCGGGTCCCTTCAAAACCATGCTACAAAAGAGTGCTCTTCTTTCCCATTGCAGACATGTCCAGACTCGGCGTTTGTTGTTTTTCGGCGCAAGTGATCCGCCATGTCTCTTTTTCATGATCTGGTCGTCATCGGCATTGCCGAACAAGCCACAGTTCCAAGCATTTACATGCCAAAGCGACTCACGTGGGTGTGCCTTTGGTTGCAGAAATCACCATCGTTTTTGAGTCGCTTCGAATGGAACCGTCCCCATGCAGAGACGTGCCAAGAAGGCAACCCACGCA